GTGTCTGTTGTTATTAATGCTTATTATATCAAAAAGTATTTTTCTTTTAACCAAGCTCATCTAGTCTAATTTTTTTTCATCAGTTTCAACCAGCTTGTCAAGAAAAGTGTTCAGCCTGTCTGAAGCCGGTTTATCCGATGGAAAAAATTACTGCAGACAAATACATTTTTCACAAAACTTGCTTCTGTTGTAAACAGTGCAAGAAAAAATTAAGGTGAGATATAAAAATATTTTACATTTTAAAAAATCACAAAATCACTTCAAACATTGATCAGTGATTCACAATATTGATTCCACTGTCTGTGTTGAAAACAATTACTTACTTTGATCACTTTGAATTGATAAACTTCGTATTGACCCGAACATAAGTAATTGTAACCCACTATTCTATGCAACAGTTTTCATAGAGGCAAAAACTAAAACAAAAACAAAAATATTCTGGTCAATAACTGCAATAAACTTCATGTTTGTCAAATACAATCAAACTCTTTCACTGATTAATTGATTGATTTGTGGAATGATATGTAACAGCTTTTTAAGGACAATTTAAAAGATAAAAATAACATAATTATACAGCTTATTTACATAATGTCAGATAAAGTTCGATAGACCTTTTTCATTGCAGACATTTTGACTTGTGAAACACAGGTGTAATTAATATGTTCATTGCTGCATTGCTGTACTGTAATTGCTGGAACCGAGCCATCATTATTATATATGTTAAACCTGTGCTTTTCCTATGATAAGCGTGACAGAACATTTAATGTGAGCTATGACAGCTTTTGAAGGATGATTTACAAATGCAAAATGAAACTAAATGTAACATACACGATTCATTTTAAACTTTTCAAACCCAAGTAAACTCTAAATGTACCACATAGCTACTGTAACTACAAAAATTACCTTTACTACCTTTAACTAAATGTAGTCCTTAATTTGAACTGTAACTGACAAATTGTGCTTATCTGTAGCATGTACAATTACTCGCCTTTATATGGAGAATTCTACTGCGTATTTCACTACCAACAACTGTTCAGAAGAAAAGGGAATTATGATGAGGGCTTTGGACACGCTCAACACAAGAACCGATGGCTTCTGAGGAATACTGCTGACATTGTGTCCAATGAGTCAGAGTCTGAGGCATAAATAATCAGTGACAATGTGAGTAACACTTACTTGTGTTTTCTTTCTTGTCATATTCATAATATTTCTTTTATCTGGCTTCACTTTGTTAAAACTGTGTTCTGTTTCTGTCCTCAGCTGAAGTGACAACTCAGATCTTCTTGATGACGTGTTTGAGGCATAATGCAATGGCCAACTACAAATCGTACAATGTGTTTATATACTGATTGGTAATGAATGATAGTGTATAACCCATGACCTACTGTAAGGGCAACAATGGTTTAATCACTGCAAGAAACTACATAAGTGTAATCATATCTTTGTCATTCATTAAGTTCAATTGAATTACCTTCTGCTTTTTTTAGTTCACAATTACTAAAACAAAAACATTTTTGCATAATTGTTCCTTGTGAGCGTGGTGAAAGTGGTTTGTAAATTTGTAAATTTCATTTTAACTGAGAAGAATGAAACAAATGTCACGTTGTTGCAAATATTCTGGGTATCAGTGTAGTATTTGTACAGAAAAATAAAATTAAAATCAATATATCTAAATAATGGTCAAATGAAAAGGCAGAATGTATTTGGATGGTTATGTCTATACAGATGATAATAAAGAGGCTCATTCATTTTGCTGCTGTTAACATCAGTGATACTTTACATCTTTGACAGTGTGTGTCCCACCTGAATGCTCTTGAACTTCATTCCATCACTTACATTTCTACCTGCCATGCAGATATTGTGGTCTGCAGCAAACTGATATTGGACCTGACACCACATTACAGTAATGAATGAATTTCACAGGAATCTACAGATAAAGGCACGCCTTGTCATGTAATTTTATTTAATATTTATGTTTTTCTCTGTAAATACGTCTTTAAAATTTGATCTTCTATTTTATTAATTGTAATCCTTAGTCATATTATGCATTATCATTTAGCACGTATGTCCAAGTCTAAGACTAGATGACCTTCTAATTGCTAATTAAACATCCAAGAACTGGTGTAGACTTTGTGGTGAGCTTCTATTATCAGGATGGCAGAATAAGTAATTGACTGTGACTGACTAAATTAATTCCTAAAATGTGGCCAGACTAAAAGTAGCCTACATCAATTGCCCAGTGTAAGATAATAATGTAAATTTGACTGTATTAGACATTAAAATAAAATATAAAGACCATTTCTGTTATTAATAAATTATCTGCCTCTAGGACAGGACACAAAACCTGTGTAGTTCATGAACCCCTCGGCCACCCATGAGCTTTGTGCTTAAGTAAACTGACTATACTATGCCCCTAGTTTAATCATGGCACAGCCGTTGACAAAAACTGTAGCTTATCATAATTGATAATAAATTAATACATAGACAAAATAATGGATTATGACAAATAAACAGCTAAATAACAGCTTTATTCATTTGTATTTGTTCAATGTGTACTTAGGTCCCTGTAGGCCCATTTTCTGGTTTTATGAAATAAAAAACAAAAAATTAATTAATAAATAGAATTATATTATTTACCTTAAATCATTCAAAACCACATTAATCAGCATTTAAAATTCTTTACCATTACAACAGTAGCTAGTACATATCATAGATAAACACAGTGTATTTATGGATGTAATAAAAATTAACAATGTTCACTGATAGAGAAAGAATGTGGCATTAATTCATTATTTTAATGTAAAAATGTAAACAAATCCACACTAGGTATATCCCATTATGGGAGTGCATTTTCTCAAATACGATATACGGAAGATGTCCAACAGGCTTCCTTCTTTTACAGGTAAAGTGTATTTGATGCAGCTCACATTGTCTAGCAGATCGTCTGGGACTGTCCGTCCATTCACCCTCGCTGCCCTCTGGAGCTCCTTTTGTGCCTTTGTCCTTCCTGCCCTGGGTCATGAGCCAGTGAGCTGACTCTGGGAGAATCCTGAACTAAACATAGATCCAAGATCACCAAGATTTTGATGTTACATTTTTTTAACCTTCCTGGCAAAGAGTAACACTTTGGGTAGGCATTATGGCCCTGGAGGCTGCTGAACATTATTTGGCTGACAGTGAAAACAATCAGTAACTTTGGCAAATACATACATATACAACACTGGCCTCTCACAGATGAACAGTGTACCTACCCATCACAGATGTGTTCATTATGATGACACCTCCGGAACTCCCACAGAAAAATTTTAAGACCATGTAAACATACAGTAGATGTTTGGTGAAAAAGCAGCACCCACATCAAACAACAGTAGGAGAGACAGGGAGAGTAAGACTAAGCGTCTCCCAAAACCTACAAACAGAGGAGAAAAACGCATTGTGTTACATTTTTACAGTAGATTTTACTTTAAAGGAGTCATAATGAATATTTCCAGCTCTATATTTTTATTTCGTGTGTAGCTTCGTATGACTCACAGTTCAAAGGCATTCTTCTGGCACTTTATGCAGACCCTCAGTTCATCCTCTGCCTTTCTGTCAAATCTTTTTAGCTCCTCCTTTAATGCCCCCCTCCCTGAAAGCCCAATTTCTTGATTGGACAACCCTGCTTGAAGTTTCTGCCCCTTAAAAGGAAGTTTTTGCTCATAGTGGGAATTGCTGGGTCTCTGTAAATAACTTAAGTGTCCTGAGATAACTTCTGTTATGATTTGGCGCAACATAAATACAATTTAATTGAATTTACTTGTTGTTAGCGGCTACTATAGCTGCCTTCTATTAGTTTACTCTGCCCAGACTGGGAGCTCAAACAACCAGGGGAGTGTTCGTGTTTTTCTCCATGGATTTATCGCTTTGATACTTTTACTGTATTTAGCACCCAGACCTGCTTTATAATAAAAAAAGACATGGAAATCTCCCTCTCTACAATATGGGACCTTTAACAGTTTAGCTGATTCATCTTAAGTTTTTCCTTGCCCACATGTTTTTTGCCAGGTCTTGCAGTGACTTTCTTTTTTAAAAAAAGTAAGGTTTTGATTTCAAAGCTTTTTATTTAGACTCTGAGGAGACCTTTCCGTCAGTCGGTGATACCCCCAAGTCATGTACATAACACAAAGAGTATTTAGCATGACAACAGCTACTGCGAAACCAAAATATCCTAAGGTCTTAGATTGAGCACTATGACTTACTTTGGACAGGAGGTGGGAAAGCATGTGTTATTTTACCTTACCTGTCAGAAATTGCCCCGAACACCAGTGCTCCAACCAGAAAACCCATCATGTAGATGGATTGTGATGCCTCAGTCAAACCACTCTTGTCACAAACCAGATCAAACTGAAAAGAGAAAAGGATGGTGAGAGGTGAGAGCAGGGCCACAGCAAGGGATTTTAGGCTTAATACCCTAAACTGAGGGACTGCAACAACCCTGAGGTGTTGTTTGCTTGCTTACCTCTGTCACAATACTGGAATCACCTATGGCTGCCTCATAGTCTCATCCAACTGTGCATCCAGTTGTACTGTTAATCCCAAATGCTTCAATGGTTTCCAAATCCAAATCCACAGGGGTAAACATTTTACAGCTTTCATCCTTCCATCCTTGTTCACTGGCAGGGTGAGATTTCTTTGTTGCTCATCTGTCAGGTTGGGCCCACACTCCAAGATCCAGTCAGTGTTGCAGTGATGAGGGAAGCTTGTGCCTGTAAACACTTGACCAACCATCTCCTTTAGGATTTGTCAAAGGTTGCTCATATTAATATGTAGCTGTTGCAGTGCTTCCTCATCACAGTGCAGTATGACGTATGTATGCACCAAGCTCTAAGTGTCATAAGTCTAGCAGGAAAGATTGACAATCTGATCTTGCTAATCAATCTTTAATCCATTACAACCAAAGAGTGTGAGATATCACTCACAGTCGGCTTCATTGTTTAGTAGGAAATAACAAGGCTAATTCTTTAAGCTTACAGTTCAAGTTCAACTTTAGTTGATGACTTTAATCTTTATTAATGATTTTATACAAAGAGCTTCATAGTTCAGAGGGACAAGAGAAATTAAACAATGAATACAAATCATATGTACAACACACAACTTCAAACAGACTGCAATAAACAGGAAGTTATGCCCTTTTGAACCGCTCACTGTCTGCCAGATGTCAAACCCTGTTTGGATCAAGTAAACTTTGCTTTTACCTTAGCTGCCATGTGTATCTCTGATATAGATGTATGTAAATATGTTATATGTTGGGAGTGGAACACACATTTACTTGACTTAATAAACAATTTGTGTGAATAAATCCATTTCTAATAAACTTTCAGGTATAAAAATGCTACCTAAATAATAATTACTGACCAGTATTATTAACTAAAACAGTTTACAGCTTTCTTACTTGATAATAAATAAGCAAAACTATGGACTTATTATGATTTCAGTACAAGTTACAGTTCTTCATTAATTTGTTCAGCACTGTCCCCCATAGATTCAGTCACCGGTTTCCTAAAATCAAAAACAGAAAAAAGTATTTACACTTAATACAGTTTGTGTAATCAGATTTCTTTTAAAATGAAAACATGTATTCTCAGCTCACTTCAGCTCAGTGTGGTCTTGAAGTTCAACATTGAGGGTTTCAGGCAGCAACAAACAGAAACCCGCAGCAGCAATGGGGATGATGCCATATATCAGCATGGGGATGGTGTAATGGTAGACCTGCAGGAGCCTGATCAGTGGAGCGAGGATGCCCGCCGCACGAGCACACATGGAGTTAAAACCTACCCCATTGTGCCTGCAAGAATGCACAATGATTGAGATGAATGCTTTAGATTGCAGCTTACAAATTAGGGTGTAATTATTAAGTGTATAAAAATACTTGCTGGGTACCTATACCAAGACAAATATATAAGTACAAGAGGAGAAGTATCTGTTTGATAATATATATAGCACAGTGATCTCATTACTGTGTAACAAGGACATTTCGAAATTTATTGGGAAATTGGTAAATAAAAGTGTAAAATGTTTTTAAATAAAGAGTATTTATTGTTATTAATATAGTGGTCCCATGTTCACTGTATAGTGTAATTTCTGGACATGCGTGCTGTAAAATAAAGCAGTCTCTTGTTTGAGCCCTTTACTATTAAAAGATATTGGATATTCAGGCTTTAATATGTAACATTCCTTGTTGCGATATAATAACAGTGCAGTCAAAAAATACCATGAAACAGAAAACAAAATATGTCAAATTCAGTGTTAAAACAGATCAGTGTCACCAAGATTTCTTATGTGATCATGAGCAGCAGCAGAAAGAGTGACATTACCTTAAAATGGTTGGGTATAATTCTGCAGTGTAAACGTAGGCTGTGCTGAAAGAGGCAGTCGCAGCAAATTTCCCCAGTACAGCTATGGTTGTTACCACCACTGGAAGATCTGATGGAAAAATAATATCTTCAAAAAAACAAAAATAACTGTACAAACAACTGACACACATAACCTTAAAGAGAAGTTTTAAGATATGTCTGAGGTTTTGAAAGTACCATTTGGGATAGCAAGCACCATGAGGCAAGCAGCACCCCCAAAGAACAGGTAGCACACTTGACATATTCGCCTTCCAAAGTGCTGAATTAGACCCAAAGCGCTCAGGTTTGCAGGAATTTCGACAAAACCAAAGATGAACTGCGTGAGGTAGACATTCAGGCCAAAACCACCGACATTCAGGCTCAATCCATAGTACAGAAGACTTGCTGCAAACCTAGTGTGAGTTAGAGAGGTATATTCAGTTGTTTTCTACTATTTAAAGGACCAGTGTGTAGGATTTAGTGACATCTAGTTAGGGTTGACCAAAAATCGGCCTGGCTCTGATTCTCTGTATTATTTTTTTAACCCGATCGCCAGTGAAGCGAGGGAGTTACAATCTGCAACTACACTCCTAGATGCCACTACATCCTACACACTGATACTTTAACATACAAGATTATTGGGACAAATGTGTACTATTAACTCTGTAACTATTACAGATCATTACTAAACATCAGTGATATGAAGTGACAGCAGCATGAACAATTATATCAGTTAAAGAAGACACACCAGTTATAGGCCATTATGATGGTACGTTTTCTCAAATACGATATTCGGAAGATGTCCAACATGTTTCTTCTTTCGAATGTACCCTCCATCTCTACCTAAACAAGTAAAAAGTATGTTTTAGAAAATGTAGCCTCCGTTTGTCATAGAGTCAAAGTGCGTTTGATGCATCTCACTTTTTCTAGCTGATCTTCAGGGAGCATCCTCCCATTCACCCTGGCTGCCCTCCGAAGCTCCTTTAGTGCCTCCTCCTTCCTGCCCTGGGCCAGGAGCCAGCGAGCTGACTCAGGTAGAAACCTGTTGGAACACAGGTTCAAAAACAGAAAGTGTGGCTGACCCCTTCTAAGTCCCGCCCCTTTTTGCTCTGTGCTGCAAATAGCAGTTGAGCAAGCCTTAGTCAGTCTGTGTTGAAAAGACAACCACATCTCAAAAATAGTTAAAAGATAAAAGCGACATATATATAATGACATCTCATGTTAGCCAAATGCTAACTAACATCAACTTTATATAAAATGCTACCTAACTTGCAAATATATATCAATCATGAGTTAGCTAGTGTTTTGCTACCTTCAGCTAACTTAAGATCAGGCATCACATTACTGTTAGAAGAAAAAAGACGTAATCAGATTACAGTTACATTTGGTAAAAATGGGGATTATTTAGCAGGATTACAATTCTACAATTTAAAATACATCAGTTTTTCTCTTAATAAATACAGAAGCAGAGAACACATTTCTGATGCAAAAAACACTTCCATTTTCCTTTTTCTTTTCTTTTTACATTTTTGTTTGTCTTAAAGAATACACTTTCATCAATACTTCTTATTGATATTTCTTCTCTTTTGTTTTTATTAGCATATTTGGTGTTGAGGTAATCCGAAAGTAATTGAAAGTAATCAAGTTGCGACACTTTAATATTGTGATACTTGGATTTTGCTACTTTTGTTAAATTTTTTCACAGGTAATTAGTAATTGTATCGGATTATATTTTTAAAGTATCCCTCTCAACCCTGCTGGCAACCAAGCTTGCTCAACTGTTAATGGAGCACAGAGCAAAAAGGGGTGTGACTTAGTAAGGGTCAATTATAACCCCCCTATCAAAGTTTTTGGCAAATAGCACCTAATAAACATCAAAGTATTATTGTCTGATAGCTGCTGACCAGTACAAGAATCCCAAAACAAGAACAAGAGGGCATAAAAGCACGAGCTGCAGGATCCTCCAGTTGTGGATTAAATATGCAATGCCAGACAACAGCATCAGTCCAACAGAAAAGAACATTATGATGGCCTCTGTGCACAGAGCCGTCTTAGAGGGATCAGTCCACTCCATCCCTGTATGACAGGATAAGATAAGTCACTATAACTCAGTATGGCTGATGAAAATGAGTATATAGATGATCATATGGATTGATAGATGATAGAGAAAATACAGCAAGAGCAATAATGATAACAATAATAATAATAATGGGAATGTGGAAAAAGCAGGCTTACCCATCACAGATGTGTTCATCACAATGACAACACTTGAGCTCCCACAAAAGAATTTGAGAACCATATAAAAATAGACATTGGGTGAGAAAGCAGTACCCACACCAAACACCAGAAGGAGAAGGAGTGAAAGCAGGATCGCAAAGCGCCGACCAAACCTACAGAGAGAAGAGAAGGAAGAGAATAAATGCTTCTAGTGCTTTAAAGGGCCACATTATTAAGCTAGATCCTTCTGTGTATTTCTCACAGCTTACAGTATTTTACCTACATTCTATGTTCCTATGAATAATAACAAAATTCCATAACTTGTGTGTACAAGACCAGGAAGTGGATGTGTTATGGGTTCTTACCTGTCAGAAATTGCCCCAAACACCATTGCTCCAACCAGAACGCCTGCCATGGAGAGGGACTGTGATGTCTCAATAAAACCACTCTTGTCACAAACCAGATCAAACTGAAAACAAGAAGAAATGTGAAAGGAGGAAAGGAGGTAGATAAATAAAAGAAAGAACTGAAAGCAGGACTTAGAGACCCTGACAGGCCCGCAAGACAATTTAATAATTAAGCTATTCATTTGTTTACCTCTGTCACAATGCTGGAAGTACCTATGGGTGCCTCATAGTCCCATCCATCTGTACATCCAGTTGTGCTGTTAATCCCATATGCTTCAATTGCTTCCAAATCCAAATCCACAGGCGTGAACATCTCACAGCTTTCATACTTTCCATCCTCGTTCACTGGCAGGGTGAGATTTCTTTGTCTTTCACCTGTCAAGTTGGGCCCACGCTCCAAGATCCAGTCAGTGTTGCAGTGATGAGGGAAGCTCATGGCTGTAAACACCTGACCAATCACGTCGAAAGCTGCAAACATGCTGGGGATGCATAATGCAGCCAATAATCTTTTCTGAAACAAACCAAACTCCCCAATCTCCTTTAGGATTTGTCCAAAGTTGCTCATATTGACATGTGGCTGTTGCAGTGATCCTCATCAAAGTGCAGTGTGAGATATGTATGAGCCCAGCTCTAAGTGTCATAAGTCTAGCACCATATATGAATATATCTGATCTTGCTAATTAATCTTTAATCCATTACAACCCAAGTGTGATATGACATTCACAGTTTTATGGCTTCATTTTATAGGCTAATGTGGCTAAATTTAGTGTTGTTCTAAAACCGTTATCAGTATCGTAATTGGTTGTATTAGGCATTGGCAAATACGGGTGTCTGGTCATTGGTCTGGTACAATGTGAAACATCAGAACCAAAACGCTATTTGCCATTTTTTCCCCAGAGAAGTGATGTCCCGCCACACCCTTATCCTGACTCTGACAAAGGGTTTATTTTTAATGCACACATGTCGGACCGGTACTCGGTTTTGGCTGATACGCAAAGGTCAGTGATCGGAATCGGTATCATGAAGTAAGTGTTATCAGTGCATGTGTGGTTGTTATGGCACTTGTCTTCATCTTTTAGTAAGGGACAAACGTTTTTATTGTTCTACCTATTGTAAAATCTGGGATAGATAAGGAAATAACATTTGCACTAATGATCATATCTCCATTTTAAGCACACACAAACACAGTTCACACAAAGTGGTAGCATGGAGGGAATAGAACAAAATAAAGGAGATAATAAGGACAGACAAAGCATAAATAAATAATTACACTGACCTAAAGCACTAAAAACATGTGGTCATGTCAAATCAAAAGTAATGAAAATTTGAAAAAACTGTTCAGGCAGCTGTAAAAATCTCCACTATAATTATTCATTAAATTAAATTTAAAGAGCATAAACTGCAATATACAGATGCAGATTTGTTTCTGAAAAGCTTGAACATGCTGCCAACAAGTTTTCAAGATAATGTAAAACAAACAGTTTCAAGTATTCTTGACAAAATTGCTTTTATATTTTTTAATGTGATAGAATCAAGACTGTAAGAATACTTTTTTAAAGTCAGCCAAGCATTTGGGGCCTCTTCTTCTAAATCTACTAGCAGTGGTGAACAGTTTTAGTACTAGGAGCACAATATCAAGAAAGCCATTTTTGCCATCTAGAATCCCAATTAATTACACCAAAAGACTTGTTTTGCTTTTCAAACAAGTCAATCAGAAACAGATGAGCCAGCTTGACACAGACTTGACCAACTCACAAAATAAAGATTAACATCAATACAATTTCTGCCTGAAATCAGGGACCCAGGGCTAAATTAAAGGACTTTCTGTGTCATGGGCTTCATTAAAAAAAACAACAGTTTTCCTTTTTTAAGACAATTTTTTAAAAGATTTTTTAAGGAGAGATGGGGTGACCTGCAGCAAAGCACACAGAGTTGAATCTGGGCTGCTGTAGTAAGGACTCAATCTTGATACACGATAGCTGTGAGCAGCTGTGAGCTTTTCTTGAATAATACATTTCTAAAGAACATTTCTGTCAGAGAACAAACTTGAGTCATTCCCGTGTGATGTGTCACATTTGTCCTCACTCCTATAAAAATTAGCTTGCACTTGCACACAAAACACTGTGATATCACAGATTTAATGATCAAAGCAACTGATTACATTTTGAAACACAAGCAGACAACAGTTGTTTGTTTGTTGTTGTTTTTTCGCCACAAGGGGGCAGAACTCCATGACAAAAACATCACAGGCACTGTTGCAGTTGCTATTTACTGGCCACATAATACAAGAACCAACTCTCTCTCAGTCAGTGTTCCTCTATGTTCAACACCTAGTTACTAACTTTATCCACGTCACATTATCGAACAACTATGACAGCCACTATGTAAATTACATTTTGGTGCTCTTTCCTGATTTAGTGAAGGATGCCGTCTCAGCAGCCCCGTTGTCTGGTTTTCTGAAAATAAAAATGAGAAAATTATTGTATTTAACTACCTTGAGCTTCTTGTAAGTGAAATTAGCCCTTTGTTGTGAACAGGTTCATCAACTCACGTGAGTTCAGCGTGGTCCTGGAGTTCAACATAACGAGTCTCAGGCAGTAATAAACACAAACCCCCAGCAGTAATGGGGATGATGCCATATATTAGCATGGGGATGGTGTAATGGTAGACGTCCAGGAGCCTGACAAGTGGATCGAGGATGCCCGCCACACGAGCACACATGGAGTTTAGACCTACACCATTCTGCCTACCAGTATAGACAATGGATGATGGAAGCGATCACATAGCATGAAATAATAACAAACATTTTCTGCCAATATAAAGTCTATTTTATGTTTTACCTCTGACATTACCTACCTTACCTTAGAGTGGTGGGGTATAGCTCTGCAGTATAAACGTAGACGATGGAGGAAAGGGCAGCGGCAGCTAATTTTCCCAGTACAGCTATGACTGTTACCACAACAGGAAGATCTGATGGACAAATAATGAACACAACTGTGACAGAGAAGAATATATAATTGAATGTTGTAAGCCTCACAAGGCAAATAATAATGTTAGTATTCCTTAAAATGTAATTTCTTGTTCTCAAGAATCAGGTGAATGATACATTCAAGACAGATTACAACAGGCTCCCATTAGTATATAACAAAGTACCTCTTGGAACTGCAAGTATTGCAAGACAAGCACAACCTCCAAGCAACAGGAGCCCTACTTGACATATTTTCCTCCCAAAGTGCTGGATAAGAGGTAAACAGCCCAGACGTGCAGGGACTTCTACTACACCAAAGATGAACTGTGTGAGGTAGATATCCAGACCGAAATTTCCAACGTTCAGACTCAGTCCGTAGTACATTAGATTTGTTCCAAACCTATTAACAGAGTTGAAGAGATACCTTCAGTGCAGCCACACAGATGTGGCTGTAGATGTTGTTGTGGATGAGATAAATACTCACCAGATGTAGCTCATTATGAAAGTTTGTTTTCTGAGATATGATATCCTGAATATGTCCAACATGTTTCCTCTTTTGGATGTATCCTCAGCCTCCAGCTAAACAATATAGGTGTCATTTTGTAGTTAGAGTATATTTATTTCAGTTTATCACATTTATTATTGTGTTTGATTTAGATTTAAGCCAAAGTGTTTTTGATGAAGTTTACCTTGTCTAGCAGATCTTCTGGGACCTTCCTCCCATTCACCTTGGCTGCCCTCCGGATCTCCTTTATGGCCTCCTCTTTCCTGCCCTGTGTGATGAGCCAGCGAGCTGACTCTGGAAGAATCCTAATCAAGATATAGGTCCACAATCACAAACAATAATATTTTTTTCTGTGGCCAAGTGTCCTGAGCAGCTGCTTACCAATAAAAGATTCCCAGGACAAGGATAAGAGGGCTGAAGAGTACCCACTGCAGGATCCTCCAGTTGTGGATCAAATAGGCAACTCCAGACAACATCATCAGTCCAAGAGCGACAAAAGAGTGGCAGATAATGGTGCAGAGAGCAAACTTGGAGGAATCACTCCACTCTCCACCTTCAAAGAAATAATACAGACGGAAATGGAATCATTTCTGACACGTTATTTTACCAGTACTACTCTTATTGTTACTGATCTATTTAGTAAAATGCATGTATGTTATGCTCATGTGATTCAAAAGTAGGATCAATTCAATGCATGCAACACTTAACACTGCAAATGTCACCACTGTATGAGCCAACTTTTTTAGCTTGCAACTTGTCAAAGCATCAACTCTCATTGCATCGACATAAATTTCACAAATAACCACCTCAACATGCAACTTATGAAACTGAAGGATGTTGTGTAATTATAGAGGAAACTAAACAGAATTGTGTTTTTCTATGTGGGGCTATTATTTCTAAAAAATGAAAGTTAGTTGACTTGCAGGTTATAATGGGTTTCAGCGGGCCCTTGATGCTTTTAGTTCAAATTTGAAAGTGTACATATTGGTCTGAATTAAGGAGACTTGCACCCATTGCCAAACTGTAAAGAAAGTGAATAATCAACTTCATACACTCTGCATTAGAGTTCATCACTGGAAGTCAAATGTTTTTCTATTGGCCACAAGTATTAGCAATTAAATTTAATAAAATGAAAAAATGTAGTTGCTGTTTGTATTAACAATTTTGCTCTTCAAATGGCAAATTAAGAAAAAAAGAGATGTAGACCTACCTATCACAAATGCATTACTAATAATGCCTGAAATGGAGATGCCACCTAAAAATTTGAGAACAATATAAACGTAGATGTTGGGTGAGAAACCAGCACCGACACCAAACAACAGTAGGAGAAGGAGTGAGAGCAGGACTACAAAGCGTCGACCAAACCTACAAAGAGAAGAGAAGAACTGTTACACTGGTGATTGAGTTTTGTATGTAAATGAGACATATGTGAATATTTATTTCCATTAAGTTCAGCAAGAATGTATACACTGATACACTGCAAGTATAAAATCGTATGAATGCAGACTGGTTTCTGTTTATTTCTTTGAGTTTGTCATTCAATCAAGTTCTACTGATACTAGTTTAAAAAAAATACTCAAATCACAAGTACCAAGTAAAGTAAAGTGAATGTTTACCTGTCAGCCATCTGCCCAAACAGCAGCGCTCCAACCAGAAGACCGGCCATGTAGATGGACTGTGATGCCTCAATCAAGCTGCTCCTGTCACACACCAGGTTGAACTGATAGCAGGAAGGATGGTAGTATTGATTATATTATGGAGTGTTAAACTGTGTTGTTTCCACTTGTATTTATGTATTTTCTTATGTTTTGAAAAGTCTATATTGATCCATTTTCTGGTTTAGTAATTAGAAATAAATGGAAACATGAACAGCCCTATCTAGAGCCAGTGTTTGGTTTCATTCTGGACTTCTGTAGAAACATGGCAGCCTCCATTTCTGCAAATAGATCCTCCTAAATGTAAGTTTTTACTGTTTTGAAACAGTAGGAAAGTGCAAACTGACAATAAAAATAATAATAAAAATAAAGTAGTCTAGTATAAGTATAAACAAGTATCTCTTACATCTGTCACAATGCTGGAGGAACCTTTGGGTGCTTCAAAATCTGATCCATTTATGCATCCTGTTGTATTAATCCCAATTGTTTCCAAATCCAAATCCACAGGTGTGAACATTTTACAGCTTTCATACTTTCCATCCTTGTTCACAGGGATGGTGAGATTTCTTTGTCTCTCATCTGTCAGGTTGGGCCCACGCTCCAAGATCCAGTCAGTGTTGCAGTGATGTGGGAATCTCCTGCCTGTGAACACTGGACCAAACACATCGAAAGCTGCAAACACAGTGGGGATGCATAATGCAGCCACCAAACGCTTCTGAAATAAACCAAACTCCCCAATCTCTTTCAGGATCTGCCCGAAGTTGGTCATTTTGGTATCTTAATGGGCCCGGAGTGCAGTGTGAGAAAGAGAAAGTATTACTAACAAACAGACTGCCCAAGTATAAAAGTGTAACATGTCAGGATCCCTCAGGCTGGAGTTCAGATGCCCAAATATGTGGCCCGCCCTTTTCCTCCCTGAGACTTGAAGATTCAGAATTTAATTACCATTACCTGTTTGCTCAGTAGAAGTGTTTGAGCACAGAACAGTGGAAGGGCTGAAAACGCTTATGAGGAAGAGGACACTGTGGACAGTTACGTGTGATCCTCTGACATGCCTTCTAATAAAAGTGTCTTTCTCTGTGCATCATCCTTGCTCTTAGATCCTAACAATAAGTAGTTTTCTCAAGCGAAGTCTGCACTTATAGGAAGAGTCAGGATCTAGCAGTGCCTCTCTGATTGGCCACAAACATGAGGTGCCAGAAGTCTTTTACATATGGCTTCCCTTAAATCCAGATTAAGATTTCCCTAAGTTTTAAATTCACGTAACAGAAAACTGCAAACAGGAACAGAGATGCTAAACACCCAAAGTAGTCCATGTCTCATCTGTGTACATAATAAAATGTGCAACAGGAGAATAAACACCTGGAGGGTGTGAGGAAAGGTAGGAACTATCCTTAAAGGGCAACAAACAGAAGAAAAACAAGCTCTCCTTAGCTTACCTTCAAGTTATCTTATCTAAGAATAAAACTTTAACATCCAGTTATAGTTAAGAATGGGAAAGACAGCATATGATATCATGATTAGATAAATATTCCCAGGAAAATTGTGCTTAGAAAGAGATGTAACTTAGTGCAATTTACATTTTTGTAAACATTTATCTACTTATAGGAACAACTTACTCAAAAACTAAGTGCCAAGAGGTGGCTGATATGCTCATTCTTTATTGATTAAAAATAATCAAGAGAAACAAATAGAGCAAATGAAAGAATTAAAAAAACTCAAAACAGGTGGGAAATTCAAATTCTTTGAGGAGAACACAGGGTCGACACACCTGTATATCTTTATTTCAGGTATCTTCACATGTAGCAAGAACTACATTTCAAAGACACTGAAAATCTGATTGATAAATGTTGACATTACTGGGTCATTTTCAATTTAAGGCTAGCGTAAAATTTGTTTAAAGTCAAAATACAAAGATTTCTTCTTAACATTTTATTTGCAAGCAAAAAAATTTATTCATTTTCATTCAGTTTCAGATCTACACATTAGAGCAGAATGTTAAATTAACCTGCCAATGCCATCGGTGCCAATAACTATGAGATGCACATTCATTATAAAACATCCAGAGTGTGTTTGAAAGGATGTGGCATCTGTACTGATAACGGCCTCTTTCTGCCAAATCCAAAACACATTTCTGATGGTGTCAACAGTCATAGCTTAGCTTTATTCCAGACTGGAGGGTGTAAAATCTTCATTTTAGCCAAGTGATGAAGCAGCTTTATGACTTCAGACGTTGAAAGCTGCAAACATGCTGGGGATGCATAATGCAGCCAATAACCGTTTCAGAAACAAATCAAACTCCCCAATCTCCTTTAGGCTTTGCCCGAAGTTACTCATATTGACATAATGTAGCTGTTGCAGTGCTTCCTCAAAGTGCAGTGTGAGATATGTGCCCAGCTCTAAGTACCATAAGTCTAGCACCATATAGGAATATATCGGATCTTGCTAATCAATCTTTAATCAATTACAACCCAAGTGTGATGGGTATTGGATCAGTACTCGGTTTTAGCTGTTATGCAAAGGTCAGGTATTGGAATCGGGCTGAAAAAAATGTTATCTGAACATCTCTAGCTAATTAGGGATCTAGGACTGTAGAGGTAAAGGTAAAGCTATAGATTAGATTAGATTAGATTACATTCAGCTTTATTGTCATTGCACAAGTGCATCGGTCTTTCATTTGTGGTATAATTTTAGTGCTGAATTAGCATGATACAGTAACAGTATCACCAGAATCACAATAAGAATCAGCTTTATTGGCCAAGTATGGGTTTGCATACAGTACAAGAATTTTGACTCATTTGTCTCAATGTACTTACACAGGAATAACAAATACAGAAAAACTGGAAAAGTACCAGACAGCACAATATTGAGACAGACATTTTCTGTGCCAGCTTGCATCCTAATTTATTTTGCCTACAGAAAACCTTTCTGCAAAAGGGGTCATTCAAACAAGTCAGTCAGAAACAGACTTGACCAACTCACAAAATCTCTCTATAAAAGCAAGAAATCTCTGTCTGTCTGTCTGTCTGTGTGTGTGTGCCTCAAATATCTCTGCAGATCAGGATCAGACTGACCTGAAAGTTGCAACATGGCTGCTGTGTGGTTTAAGGGTGTGCAACGTCAGCTTTGTTTGGACTACAAAGATACCGTTAATAAATTATTTCATAAATGATTTACGAATTCCACTAGCATTGTTAAGCATAGCCACCATAGTCACGTGCGCACCACAGCCATGTTTGTCTGTAGCTAGCTACTACACCTTCAAACACAACCTCATTTGGCCATCCATGAAAAAGCTACTTAACCTCCCACTTTTCAATAGCAATACATACTTCCTACGGGCACTGCACTAGTAAAAATTAACATCAATAAGCTAGCCAGCTACAGCTGATCAAATCTGCTGGCCACCTGCTAAAAATGTCTACTTCTGTCTGAAATCAGGGACCCACAACTGAATAAAGGCCTTTTGGTGTCATTTGGGCAAGTGATTTATTTTTTAAGATCCTTATTTCTATGTTTTTTGTTTGTTTTTGATAGTTATATCAAGAGAGAGAGGGAGTGACATGCAGCAAAGTGCTCAGAGTTTAGTTTAGCTTGTATTTTGTATCTACATAAGGTTGTGATATCACAGATAGGCAATACGTAAGCAATGAGCAATTATAACGATCAAAGCGACTGATTACACTTTGAAACACAAGATGTAAGACAACAGATTTTTATTATTGTTTTTTTTGCCACAAGGGGGCAGAACTTCATGAAACAAAAAACATTATAGGCACTGCTACAGTTGTTATTTACACATCAAGCAGACATGGAGCAAAGACAGCATTCATTTGTTGTGTTTCTGGCTACATAATACATGTACCAACTCTCAGTCTCTCAGTCAGTGTTCCTCTGTGTTTAACACACAGTTACTAACTTTATCCACATCAGTGACAGAACAATTGTGCAAATTCACAGCTCAAAGATGAACAAAAGTGACTCAATGTAATCAGTTACAGTGTACTACGACATGTCAAAATGTTAGCTTATTCCCATTCTCCATAATGCACTACAGTTGACTTGTAGCAACTGAAAAACATACAGGCAATACATCCATTCACACTATAACATGCGTACTGTCCATCATACATCAATTAAATTGAGGTGAGAAACAAATAGGTGCATAGCAAATACACATCATTTCATATACTGTATATACAATTCAATTCAAGTTATCAAACAGTCTATAAATTCTGTAGTAGTGAATAATTTTTTAACAGATTGTAACTACAAAACATAACATTATGCTTAATAATTTACAAGTTCAATATAACTCAGTTGAAGCTTTGCATTTGGGTAACACACCAGTAATTAGAAAAAAGGCAAACCAGTTTTCCTCATATGAAAAAGCTATGACAGCCATTGTGTCCATGTAAATTACATTTTTGTGCTCTTTCCTGATTTAGTGAAGGATGCCGTCTCAGCAGCCCCGTTCTCTGGTTTTCTGAAAATAAAAATGAGGAAATGATTGTAGTTAGCTACCTTCAGCTTCTTGTAAGTGAAATTAGCCCTCTGTTCTGAACAGGTTCATCAACTCACGTGAGTTCAGCGTGGTCCTGGAGTTCAACATTACGAGTCTCAGGTAGTAATAAACACAAACCCCCAGCAGTAATGGGGATGATGCCATATATTAGCATGGGGATGGTGTAATGGTAGACGTCTAGGAGCCTGATCAGTGGAGCAAGGATGCCCGCCACACGAGCACACATGGAGTTTAGACCTACACCATTCTGCCTACCAGTATAGACAATGGACTTAAAAGCGACCACATAGTATGAAATAGTAACAAACAAAATATTAAGTCTAATAACAGATTTCATGTTTTACCTCTGACATTACCTACCTTACCTTAGAGTGGTGGGGTATAGCTCTGCAGTATAAACGTAAACGATGGAGAAACTGGCAGTGGCAGCAAATTTTCCCAGTACAGCTATGACTGTTACCACAACAGGAAGATCTGATGGACAAATAATGAACAAAACTGTGACACATAAATTAAACATATGTGTCAGAATGCAATGCATGTCTTAGAATATTTAGATGTAGCAAGCTCACAAGGCAAATAAAAATTTAATTTTAAGAAATGTAATTTCTTGTTCTCAAGAATCAGGTGAATGATACATTCAAGACAGATTACAACAGGCTCCCATTAGTATATAACAAAGTACCTCTTGGAACTGCAATTATTGCAAGACAAGCACAACCTCCAAGCAACAGGACCCCTACTAGACATATTTTCCTCCCAAAGTGCTGGATAAGAGGTAAACTGCCCAGACGTGCAGGGACTTCTACTACACCAAAGATGAACTGTGTGAGGTAGATATCCAGACCGAAATTTCCAACGTTCAGACTCAGTCCGTAGTACATCATACTTGTTCCAAACCTATTAACAGAGTTGAAGAGATACCTTCAGTGCAGCCACACAGATGTGGCTGTAGATGTGGTTGTGGATGAGATAAATACTCACCAGATGTAGCTCATTATGAAAGCTCGTTTTCTGAGATATGATATCCTGAAGATGTCCAACATGTTTCCTCTTTTGGATGTACCCTCAGCCTCCAGCTAAACAATATAGGTGTCATTTTGTAGTTAGAGTATATTTATTTCAGTTTATCACATTTATTATTGTGTTTGATTTAGGTTGAAGGCAAAGTGTTTTTGATGAAGTTTACCTTGTCTAGCAGATCTTCTGGGACCTTCCTCCCATTCACCTTGGCTGCCCTCCGGATCTCCTTTATGGCCTCCTCTTTCCTGCCCTGTGTGATGAGCCAGCGAGCTGACTCTGGAAGAATCCTAATCAAGATATAGGTCCAGAATCACAATTATTTTTTTTTTCTGTGGCTGTAATGGAGATCATCATCTAAATCCAAGTGTCCTCAGTAGCTGCTTACCAATAAAAGATTCCCAGGACAAGGATAAGAGGGCTGAAGAGTACCCACTGCAGGATCCTCCAGTTGCGGATCAAATAGGCAACTCCAGACAACAGCATCAGTCCAAGAGGGAAAAAAGAGTGGCAGATAATGGTGCAGAGAGCAAACTTGGAGGAATCGCTCCACTCTCCACCTTCGAAGCAATAATACAGACAGAAATGGAATCATTTTATTAAGTATGTGTAACGTATTATCAATTTAATTTTATAAAATAGAATATCGTTGCTGTTTGTATTGTAATGCTGCTCTTGAAAGGGCATAATAGCAAAAGAAGAGATGTAGACCTACCTATCACAAATGCATTAGCAATAATGCCTGAAATGGAGATGCCACCTAAAAATTTGAGAACAATATAAACGTAGATGTTCGGTGAGAAACCAGCACTGACACCAAACAACAGTAGGAGAAGGAGTGAGAGCAGGACAACAAAGCGTCGACCAAACCTACAAAGAGAAGAGAAGAACTGTTAGACTGGTGATTGAGTTTTGTATGTAAATGAGACATGTGTGAATGTGTACCTGTCAGCCATCGGCCCCAACACCAGCGCTCCAACCAGAAGACCAGCCATGTAGACGGACTGTGATGCCTCAATCAAGCTGCTCCTGTCACACACCAGGTTGAACTGATAGCAGGAAGGATGGTGAAAGGAGGAGAGGACCAAAGAAAACACCAGACATATTCTAGGTTAGTAATTAGAAATAAATGGAAACCGTTTAAATTGTAGTTTTGCATCAGTATCTCTAACAAACCAAACTATTGCTGACCAGCATGTACAATAACCAGGATAGCAGGCAAGTGCCATAACTAAATGCAGTCAAAAAAGTATGGTGGTTTAGAAGGGACAAAAAGTCAAAGTCAACTGTCACATCACACAGACCAGCTGTCACACTACTTAAAAGGACCAGTGTGTGGGGTTTAGGGGCCTTTATTGTGGTATAGTTGCAGATTTGCAGCTTCCTCTCCTTTTGAGCAAAAAGAAAAATATGGTGGCCGTGAAACACACAAAAAACATGAACAGCCCTATCTAGAGTCAGTGTTTGGTTTGGCTGTTCTGTGCTACTGCCTCCACCCCGGACCAAGCGCCGAACCTGGGGCGACAAGAGCGTTCTCTGTAGCTGCCCCCTCCCTCTGGAACTCTCTCCCCAAACACATCCGTGACTGTACCGACCCTCCAACATTCAAATCACTGACAAAAACACACCATTTTAAAATTGCTTTTAATGTTTAGCTTAGTCTGATGTGTTTTTAATGTTTTACTACTTGATGTTGTTTTGCTGCTTTTATGTTTTTATGTAAAGTGTCTTTGAATATTTAGAAAAGCACTTATAAATAAAATTTATTATTATTATTATTACTGTACAAACATGGCAGCCTCCATTTCTTCAAACATATGTTCCTAAATGTAACACAGTAAATGATACAATAGAATATATTCTATATTCTTACAAACACTAGTTATTTCTCTGCAATCTGACAATAAAAACTAACTTCACATACCCACCCTGGTGGTCATGTTTGCAGCCCCATACACTGTGATTTGTTCTGACACCTTTCTATCAGAACCAGCATTAACTTTTTCAGTAGTTTGAGCTACAGTAGTTCATCTATTGAACCACAACAGGGCCAGCCTTCACTCCCCACGTACATCAGTGAGCCTTGGCTACCATGACCCTGTCGCCAGTTCACCGCTTTTCCTTCCTTTTGTTAGGTACTGACCTCTGCAGACTGGGAACACCCCACAAGAGCTGCAGTTTTGGAGATGCTCTAACCCAGTAGTTTAGCCATCACAATTTGGGCCTTGTCAAAGTCGCTTAAATCCTCACGCCGCCCATTTTTCATGCTTCTAACACATCAACTTTCAGGACAAAATGTTCATCTGCTGCCTAATATATCCCACCCACAGACCAGATAATCAGTGTTATTCACTTCACCTGTCAGTGGTCACAATAAGTAAATAGTTGAAGGGTTCAGTGTGTTGCTCTGTGGGTGTATAAACAAGTATCTTTTACCTCGGTCACAATGCTGGAGGAACCTTTGGGTGCTTCAAAATCTGATCCATTTATGCATCCTGTTGTTGTATTGATCCTGTATGCCTCAATCGTTTCCAAATCCAAATCCACAGGTGTGAACATCTTACAGCTTTCATACTTTCCATCCTTGTTCACAGGGATGGTGAGATTTCTCTGTCTCTCATCTGTCAGGTTGGGCCCACGCTCCAAGATCCAGTCAGTGTTGCAGTGATGAGGGAAGTTCATGCCTGTGAACACTTGACCAATCACGTCGAAAGCTGTAAACAATGTGGGGATGCATAATGCAGCCACCAAACGCTTCTGAAATAAACCAAACTCCCCAATCTCTTTCAGGATCTGCCCGAAGTTGGTCATTTTGGTATCTTAATGTACCCGGAGTGCAGTGTGAGAAAGAGAAAGTCGGGCTTTAAGCAACATGCAGCCACTGTCAGGCAACTTGACTCTTGACCTGCAAGTTAATGTTTAAACTGACAGTCACTGTGCTTTGACGACTGCTGCCAAGTTGCTAACAGACTGCCCAAGTATTAAAGTGTAACATGTCCGGATCCCACAGGCTGAAGTTCAGATGCCCATATCTGTGGCCTGCCCTTTTCCACCCTGAGACTCACTTAATTAAATTACCATTACCTGTGTGCTCAGCAGAAGTGTGTGAGCACAGGACAGTGGAGGGGTTGAACATGCTTATGAGGAAGATGTGTGGACAGTTAAGTGTGATCCTTTTATGACAGATTGATAACAGACTTTCTCTATGCATCATCCCTGCTTATAGATAATTACAATGGGTTGTTTTGTCAAGCAAAGTCTGCACTTATAGAAAGAGCAAGGCTCAAAAAGTCCTATCAGGGACGTATCAGCAACGCTCTTGAATGGACTTTCAGCCTCAATCTCCAAACTAGCAGTTCCTCTCTGATTGGTCACAAACATGAGGAGACAGAAATCTTTTACGTGTGGCTTCCCTGAAGTGCAAAACAAGTTAACAGAACAGAAAACAGCAACAGACCGTACAAAAAAAGGTAGTCCATGTCTCATCTGTGTACACAATAAAATGTGCTACAGGAGAATAAACACCTGGAGGGTGTGAGGAAAGGTAGGAACTACCCTTAAAGGGCAACAAACAGAAGAAAAACAAGTTCATCTTGGCTTACCCTCAAGTTATGTTATCTAAGAATAAAACTTTAACATCCAGTTATAATTAAGAATGAGACACATAGCTTTACTTTTCAAGATGTTTTTTTTGGTTCTGAATTACATTTCTGATATGTTGCTGTGTTTTCTTTCCGGTTTGTCAGTGCACTTTCTTTGCACTTCAGGGCCACCATACTAACCAGCTGACAACACGTGAATAGTTGTTAAAGAGCCCTATGGTCATATACAGAGTCCTACACAGTCAGCACTTAGTGTAACTTAGTGTAATTGACATCTGAAGTAATGATGTTCATAAAAAAACAAAGTGCCAAGAGGTGGCTGATATGCTCATTCTTTATTGATTAAAAATAATCAAGAGAAACATGCTTTGAACTCCAAAACGATCAAAAATAGAGCAAATGAAAGAATGAAAAAAAAAAAAAAAAACTGAAAACAGGTGGGAAATTCAAATACATTACAGCCTTGTTGAGTTATTGCCTGGACAAAAGTGTTTTTGTTGATCATCTGTTCAGTTGCTACAGCTCTGTTAGACTACATGGGAGAGCAGGACAGAAGCGACTGTTGGAGAAAGGATGAGAACAAAGCCATTAGATCTTCAACTCCGTTAAGAAGGAGGGCTCATACACAACACACACTCACAGACACACACACACACACACTTCTCAGGGCTCATACACACTTATCCTGTCCTAATCTGCTGTCAGCTGCAGATTAAACCAGGAGAATGGCACCAAATACTGCAGTTTAGAAACTTAAGAGTAACATTGGGTTGCTGACTTTGTCGCTCCCCTTCGAGGAGAACACAGGGTCGACACACCTGTATATCTTTATTTCGGGTATCTTCACGTGTAACAAGAACTACATTTCAAAGACACTGAAAATCTGAATCATAAACCTTGACATCATGTCAAAAAAAAAAAAAGAAGGAAAAGAAAATACACTTGGTCATTTTCAATTTAAGGCTAGCGTAAAATTTAACATGTTTAAAGTCAAAATACAAAGATTTCTTCTTAACATTTTATCTGCAAGCAAAAAAAAAAATAATCCAGAAAAATTCATTTTCATTCAATATGGCATCTGGAGGGTTTATCACATCACCAAATTAAACAGTAAAACCTTGCTGGCGTTTCAGATCTACACATTAGAGCAGAGTGTTAAATGAACCTGCCACTGCCATCGGTGCCAATAACTGTGAGATACACATTCATTATAACACATCCAGAGTGTGTTTGAAAGGATGTTGCAGCTGTACTGATAACAGCCTCTTTCTGCCAAATCCAAAACACATTTCTGATGGTTCAAAATGTCGACAGTCATAGCTTAGCTTTTCTCCAAACTGGAGGGTGTAAAATCTTCATTTTAGCCAAGTGATGAAGCAGCTTTATGACTTCAGATGTGGGTTAAAGTACTGTAAACAGGCTCCACTTGGTATCATTAAGAGTTGGAGACAGATTTGCTGCTGCTCGGCTCAAAATTGGAGGGAAATTTAAGGTGGACAGGTATTGAGCGGTTCATCAGGACAGCTGTGGCCCCACGGTAAAATATATTCAAACTTTTCAAAGGCAAAAAATGAAAAGCTTCATGAGTAAAGGTAAATGAGCGTCATACGTGACATACAGTAAGTGACAGTATGTCCTGCAAAATGAGAGAATTCAAAGCTAAATTTGCAGTGTCGTCGTCTTCCTTCACACAACGCTACAACCCACAATTGTGTCATAGGACAGAAAAAAGGCCAAGAGTGAAACACCCAGTATAAAAACAAATCAAAGCCAAATGTCATTATTTACATACTAGAGGTTAAATCAAGTACTTATGTTACATCCACATAAACAAAAATGCACTTAAGTCTTTTTTTTGAAGAAGAAGAAGAAGAATTTGAGAAACTGATTCCAAACAGACACATACTAATACAAACAGACACATCTGTTCATACAACACTTGTGGTTTCAGCTGTTGTAAAACTCTTTTACTTTACTACAATTTAAATCTATAATCAAATGTACAAAAAGACCAGTGTTGTGTATGAAATGAGTGGAGGAAAATCTGGTTTTCTTTGTGGAATTTCTGTAGTCAATATTATGTTGCACTCCTTTTTCCGTAACCATTTAGGTTTTGCAATTAGATAAATGTGTTGAAGTTTATAATCAGCCGAAGTACTGGACAATCTATAGATGTGTAATCATTTAAAACCAGTTTCAGTTCATAAAGAGACTTTCCTTTCTGATGGTGTTGGGTGTAGCGGTACTTAAAATGATAAGACTAACAATCATTAAGCTTCTTATTGTCAACAAATCCCATGAAATATTTTCTGTGCATCCAAAGACTAACATAATTGATTTCTTTGTGCCATAGAGCTCCATTCTTGCCCCAAAAAACTATTAAAAACTCATTGATGAGCCACACCGTTGTACTATGGTGGTGACATGTTTTTGCTGTAAATTGTCACTAGGGCACCAAATGTCCATTAATCCGCAGGTGAAAATAGTTCCAAATGAATACACCATTTAATTCTAATGGAATTCAGAATAATTCTGAGTAACATTTGTGTCCAGCTGTTTCAGGAAATAACTTTGACTTTAAAAAAAAATTTAACTATATTTGTGAGCCCTTTTTGAAGATTTGAATGAGCTTGAGGTTGAGTGCCACAGACAGTGCAGTGGAGTCAGAAAGTACTAAGAAACAGACTAACACATCTTTTCTTCTTTTCATGACATTTGATGATGATTAGAAAAAGATTTAATAAAACTAGCCTTATCATTTAAAGATTGTTACTGTTGGTAGTGGTCACATCTTCCTCTTGTTTCACATTACATTTGTTGTGCCACATCACGTCGGCACTCATCGGTTGAGTACAGAATTGTGTGTAGAATTTGAAGTCTAGTTGGCTTGGTAAGCTGCATCTTACCTCCTCTCAAAATGAAGTAAAAAGTTTGACACGAGCAACTGAAACCACATTTGTACATTTCAGACAACATAATGCTCCATATGGTAACTGAGGCCTTCCCCAAAACGTGCATTCAGTAGTTCAGATGAATATAAGGCATTGTTACACTTATCAGGATTCAAGGGCATTAGTTCAGATTGTGCAAATGCATCACATATTAGAGAGAAGAAAGTAACAGAATGAGGGAGACCAGAGTGGGAAATGAAAACTGTTTGTTGTAGATACTTGCATCCTTCTACATGTACGCTGTAAACTTGTTTGAGTGATTCTTATATTGTACGCTCTGATACTTCAGCCACCCAATTCAATCAGGCGGCATTGTATAATCCTATGGGTGACAAAACGGTACTGTTTTCTTTGGCAGTAGTGGTTTTCTTTACAGCCATAGAAAGAAAAAAAATGCATTAAACTATTTTTTTTTTCTTTTTTAATTTTCACATTTTTTAGGCAAGTCACGGTCCCATGTAGAACAACAGTTTAACTAATGCTGAGCTGAGCAAAGCCCATCAATTTGACATCGTCTGGTATTTCAGATCCCTCAGTTCCAGAAGCCTGTGGAAAAAAGAGGGAAGGATAAAAAGTAGAGCAAAAACATATGAGCAGTCACACTTCAAAAGAACTTTGTTCCATAAAGCTTCAAGTGAAACAATAGTCAGGTTTCCATCCAAATATAGCTCCAATCTTTTCAAAATTTTCATGAAATTGACAAAAGAAAATGTAAATTTCTGCGTGTTTCCATTAAGGATTTACATCACCGGACAGTTTAATCACTATATAAATATGTAAAGGATTCAAATCGGTGGGATGAAAAATTAATGGTGATACTCTTTTGTAACAGCAGAGGGCGCTATCTACTTTTGACTGCTTGTTCAGTGTCCTACATCACTCTCGTCAGTAGCTTTATCAAGGCGTAATGGCATCAGTTTCACTTTTCCACAAAAAAAAAGAAATATGCATTTTTTACAGTTAATTTGATAAAGAAAACATAAGAGAAAATATATTTTGTAGTCTCAGAAATAAAGGAATCTTTCATAATTTGTCTTCAATCTCTAACATTTTCTCTAACATAAAAAAAAAAAAATTGAGAAAACCATAAGGTGAACCGAGTATTGTGAATCGTGAGTTGAGTCTACTTTCCTTCCACTGCTGTTATATGTGAATATTAGGAGTTGGGGCACTAATTCTCCAGTCAGCTGCCATTAAACTATTGCAGAAGAAACAGTGTGCAAGCAGATGATGCTAATAAAGCCTCAAATGGTGGAAATATAGCATTTATGTTTGTTTTATGTATTCATTCGAGGAGAGTTACAGTCATTATGTATTCGCCAAAGTCTGCTGCCATTGCACTTTGTTGCATTTTGCTTTTATCAATATTCAACTTTTCTTAATATATATATTTCCAGTCTAGTATGCACAAATTGCAAATGCACATACATTTTTTTTTTTTATGTACTATGAAAAAAAGTGGTCTGTAGTCCGTTTATCAGTAGTTTTCTTGTGAGATTCAAGGGTACCCTGCAGTCTTTTTCATCACTAGTAGCGCTATGGAACAATGTTTTGTGAGTGGGGAATGAGTGGGGTGCTGCTTTCTTTGTCTTTTTTTAAAAGATTTGTTTTTTTTTAACCTACCAATACTTAATGAACAATAACTAATTACAATAACAAGGGGAAGATAAAGAAACGGTGTAGTATAATGCGCAACTTGATGTGTTTACAGATAATGACAAAGTCGGATATTATAGTGTCTATTTCAAAGTTAGAGCCTAGTTTTAGCATCATTCAGAGAAAGGCCTGCAATATTTTCTCCCTACTTTAAAGTGCTCCATCACGTCCTTCAACTATTGACGGCTTATAGGTCTGCTAAAAGGTGTACTACTTGTTTAGATTTAAGAAAACCACAACTCAAAGACACGAAGATCAGTGATTTCTTTAAAACTGCTATTGTTTATAAAGATGAAGGTGTAGCACTCACCAGTTTGAAAGTGACATTTTTATTGGCTTGAGGCTCATCAACTATTTTCTGCAAATTTGCAGCAACTGAAAAGAAAGACAACGTTTAAGTCTGATGAAAACAAAAAATGTGTCTGCTCTCCTGTGTGTGTTCAGAAAGAGAAGAAAATTGGATCCACTGACAATTTTTAACCTTCAGGTGAGGAAAGGAATGATATTGTTAGTAGGGTCAGAAGAATGTTTGTGAATGAATCACTGACCTATTACTAAGTCCCTCCCGTCCACCAGGCCTGCAGACACTAGCTCCTGGGACACACCATCTGCTGTGTCTGAAAATAAAGAATAAGAGAAAGACTGTGACAAGTGGAGGAGTAAACATAAAGTTATACAGACTGAAAGGGAACTCGTTGATCGGACTGTTTTGGCGACTGTCATCCTGCACTATGAGTGCATCATCAGGACCCAGACGGAGAAAACTAATTCAAATTCATTATGCAGCACTTTAATGCTTCTGATGTGTATGTTTATGTTCTCTGGTGTCACAAAGAAATAACTGATTATAAACATTATTCGCATTATTAGATTGCAAATCAAAGTGCTGTCCTCAACGTACTCTCAGCTGACAAATATTCAAATAAGCTGTTTTTGGCTCTGATTTAGTCTGAGTTCAGGTCCTGTGTGTTTGTTCATTATGGTTGCTGTGTGGGGAGGCAGATGCACCAAAAGAGTTTTCACAAAACACAAGATTAATGACTGTTGATTCCTCTCACTGATTACCTAAAATGTCCCATCTACAGCCAAAAAGTCTTAACTGCAGGACACTTTTTAAACTACCTGTTGACACCAGAAAACTGAGGTTGGGATTTGATTGATATAGTCCTAAAAAAAACATACCTCTCCCTGGCATAAACTCAAAGCGGATGTCATTTAGCTCCTTCTTTGAATTTCTGAGGAGATGAAAGAAAGACAGACAGATCAGAAGAGTTAAGGTTATCATTAGTAGGTCAAAGTCATCCACAGGATCGGGATTTAAAGGCATCAAGTGATGTAGCTGCAGATTGCGAATTGGAAACTATGATGGCCGTGACACGTAAAAATTGTGAAGGCCCCTATCTAGTACCAGTGTTTAGTTTGTCCCTTCTGGGCTACTGTAGAAACATGGTGGTTCAATATTGTGGACTCCATTGAAAGACGACCACAGCATCAGTAGATATTACAAGCTCATTCTATGGTAACAAAAACACACTAATGAAAACATACCAAGGGAAATTATATTCCATTTCTGCTAATAAATCCTCATAAATTTTATATACTGGAGCTTTTAAATTATGTCCAACACGTTTTTGATACGACAGTGATCTTGGCCCTCGACGACCAAAATCGAATAAGTTCATCATTGAATCCAAATGGACGTTTCCTTAGATATCAAATCACGAGAATGGAACGGATGGACGGACAACCCGAAAACATCATGAGAACGAAGGCATAAGAACGAAGATCAGGTACATAAAAATGGTGGAACTTTGACCATTCAGCTGCTGGATTACTGATTTTTATGGGTGATAGGGGAAACGTACCTTAACCTTAATACCAAACTAATGGGGGCCTTGACATCCCCTGAGACAGCTAGGGTCTGTAAAAACACAAAAATACACATAAGCTAAAAGTAATTAGCAATATCTATGTGATGAAATTAGAGATAATAGACAAATTTGAAGTCTTAAAAAAAAAAAAGAGAATATGATGAAAAAAACACGAGGCTGGGTCAGACTGACCTGTGTGGGAACAGCAGCAGTGGCGGGTACACCGGGTGTGGGAGATGCAGCCTGGGCAGTGGATTGAGTGTTGACTGGTGTGGGCTGCAGTGGAACCTGGCCTACAGCCTGAGGTAGTTCTGCCTGACCTGCGGCCACTGGCTGGGGTTGAGTACTTAAAGGCTCAGGAGTCTGGAAAACCTGGAGGAAGAAAGAAATCTGATCAAATTCTACTTTCATATCAGTGTGGAGCTCCAATGGTTAGTTAATTAATCGATTAATTCCCAACTATTTTGATAATTGATTGAAGACATTTGAGGACGTCACCTTGGGCTTTGCGAAAGAGTGATAAACATTTTTCACTATTTTCTAACATTTCACAGACTGCACAACTAATCAATTAATCAAGAAAATGATCGACAGATTAATCAACAATGAAAATAATCATTAGTTGCAGCCCTATATCGGTGTTCAAATGGGACAGATGACTGAGTCTCATCCATGCTGGCCTTTAGTGGCCAATGTTCGAACCACCACTGAAAGGAGAGGCTTGTTTTAATACCTCTGACAGTCTCCAGCGTTGCACATATTCATTATACACATCAACAAAAGACTGTATTTTGACAAAAGGTCATGGTCCACCTCCTAAATGAAGACTGGTTGCATTCTACAGGTTAAAAATGTTGATATTTTAGATTTTTTTGCCAGGGTCTGACAAATGTATAAATCTGTGATTGAAGCATAAAAAAAAAGAACCTTTGAAACTCACCTCTGAATTCTGTGATCCCTCCTTCACTCTTGGTGACTGTTGACAGATAGAGGAAGGTAACACTTAGAGGAGGATATCACTGTGATGGCTTTAGCAAAGCAAAAACAGCACGCATGGATGCAAGGAACACACAGAAAGCAGAGAGGTAAAAAGATTAAAACGGCTCACTCGTTTACTTTCCTCATTTATCGGTCTGCTTAGCCTATCATTATCTCTTAATGTGAATACGGTGATATCCTTAGAGTGGGAACAGACTTATAAACAGCTAATAATACTTCACTTCACTAACTGGTGCTGATTATGGTTGGACGATATGACAGTGTTTAGTGAGATAACACGGGGGTAGCTATCACTTTAATATCTCTGGTTGTTTGGGGCTATTTCAAGCAAATTACAAATCAATAAGAAGGCCTGAATTATGGGAATATTGGGTTTACAGGATTTTTAAGTACTGTGATTTGTCAAGTATTTAATTAAACGGATTATCAAGAAAAACAGCCATTCCCATCTGATAATTTTATCTATAGAGAGATTATAAGTTTAATTTCCAGAAGAATCACTACATCCCAACATATATCATGAGATAAAATAACATTCACAGTAATAGAAAAGCATATACATATGTTCCACCTCTAGGCGCTGGTAACTGAGGTGTAAATGAGTGAAAATATATATGATACAAGTGCGGTTTTGATTTTAGTTGTTGATTTGAAAAGCAGAGAAGCGGCATAAATGTATACGAAATCAGGAAGAAAGTCACACTGTTAGAGGGTCAAACTGTTTATCCACCAAAAAGTTTACCAACCCAACTCCAAGGAACAGAGTCAGACAGAAGCCTTGCAGGCCCGCATGAAGACAAACTGACTTGACTGAGAAGACATGATGTGGCGTCTGGCTGATGTCAGAAATCACATCAGCTCAGGAATCTGCCGTCTGATTCAGACAAAGCGACTGCGTATTCAGGCTGTTACTAAGGAGACGGTTAGTCTTCAAAGCACACAGACGTTACACAGGTACTCAGCCAGGCTCCACTGTCTAATATACTGCATGTATCTTTTTCTGAGCAATAATTTCATATGGTCATAAAAAATATCCATGGCTTGAATTATTGAGCTCATGACAGCCCATTGGAATTTAAAGTTCAGTTTGCCAACAAGGAGCCAGTAAAGCAGCATTAAAGCAGCAAATTTATTGAAAAATTTGAATCCCTTGATGTTCATTAGTGCTCTAATTGAAAATCTCTTAACAGGGCTGATGAGTAATTTGCCTCGTATTGATTAAATGTGATTTGGTCAGTATTAATAAAAATGATTAACAAAAACAGAATTGGAAATACAGATGGCTTCCAGGAAAGGTAACTCTCACTTCTTTAATTAAATAATGCTTATCTGTTATACCTAAATGAAGAGCTGAAGTCCTCTATGCTTATCATAACTTATAGACAGTTATCTGACACAGTACAATACTGTTAGGTATGTAACGCTCATATCTAGTTGTGTGGACAAAACAATCTCTGCTATAGTTGAGTAAAAACCACACATTTACTTCCCTTCTCACGAGACACAAAATGTCTCGCCGTTTATAAAGACTCTTACTGTACTGACTAATAGGTCCTGAAAAGGGTTAACTTGTGGGTCAAATTCTACTTGCATGTGATGTACAGTGTGCACAGATTTGTGCTTAGACACAATGATGTGAACCTTTCCTGTCAACAAACCAATTACATAACTTAGTCTGGTAATTGTCTTCTGATAGGGTTAGTGTAAAGTTATATAATGCTGGAACAAAGTCACTACTATCTGGAGGATAAGAGCTTATCTGTGTGCAGATTTACTCTGGTAAAATCAGGTTCAACCTACTTCCATTCCTACAAAGGCCTGTAAAATTCAATTTGTATTTCACCAAAAGTGAAGATGAACTCTACAGAGGCTTTTTCTAATGCAGAAAAAGGTTATCTGCCTTTTTATCCATTTTGTCTCCCTTCGAGTTCTTCCCTGCCCTTTCTAGAGGTTGCACACTCCCTAGCTAACATGTGCAGAGAGAGTCCTTCCTTGTTAGGGGAATGCCATCTGTATTATCGGGACAAGAGAACAACCCTGGACGCAGGCAGCTCGAGTGGGTAGGAGAAGCGCACTTGTCGCCTGGTGGCGCCAACAGGCTTCACCTGCTGCTCCTTGGCCGTCAGACAAAACATACACACATACGGGAGACTCAGTGGAGAGACAATAGACAAACATGCTACTGCACAGACACGACAATGACAGTTTAAACATTGTACAGCGATTAAAAAGACAAGACGTGGCGTATAATGTGTGCATGTGAGGGGAAAATCAAGTTGTAGGTTAATCTCACCCTTAAGGCAGCAACAGCTGCTTTGCCCTCTTCACTTTCTTCATCCAACTCATCGTCACTCCATTCCCATTCGCCATCCTCCGTTTTATGCAGCCGACCACTGGAACCTGGCACTCTACGTACCTGTCAGGAGATAAACTCACAACTGAGCTCATCTTCTTTGCAATAAAGCACAAAGTAGATTTAAATCTTTGCCAGCTTACCCTTTTTGACCTCTCTGTTATTGTGGGCGCCCTCTGAAGTAACTTCTCATGTAAATACTCATGGGTCTGTCGTAAGAGGAAAGACACAGTCACAAAATCTGTTTATACTGCTACCTGATTAAGAAAATTATTACAGAAATGTAAGTGTGACCCATAATGTGCTTCACTAACCAAGATTTTTCACTACACTGACTTCCTGTCAAATTTAGAATCTAATAAAAAATCTATTTACTTTTAAAGCCTTACACATGTTGCTGTTGACCCCACAGAGGTCCACTAGGCCTCTCAGGTCATCAAAACAAGGACTCCTGGTTGTGCTCAACTCAAAGTGCAAGACTTCTGGTGAACTGACTATTGCAGTTCTGGCTCCCAGTTATGAAAGTGTCCCTCTCATCTGTTTAGTTAAGGTTTTACTTTACTCTGAAAGGAATTTTATTATTGCTTCCTTTCTTTCAACAATTCTTGCCTATCTTTGTAATATTTATTCAAAAACTTGCTTTTTGTTCTGTTTTGTAACCCTGCTTTTAAATAAATGCTATATCAATTTAGATTTAAAATAAAGTTTTACATACTTTAAACGTTTAAAACATTACTATTGTAATTGCCAGTGTTTTCTCCAGCATGTCTTTCAAATAGTATTGACAAACTCTTGTTCCTAACAGATGGTGACAAATGAGAAGATTTCACCAACGGAATAGCAAATCAATAATCATTTTGTTTCATTTAAATCCCCCCTGCGGGCTGACACAGACCCCCAGTTTGCTGATTTAAACCAGAGGTCTATCTATTCTAAACAATGACAAAGCATGCCCTCTGCTGTACGCACACAGTACTGCAGTTCCTGTTGCTCACCAGGGTCCTGTCCAGCAAACCAACCAGGTTGTATTTGGGCAGTGTGACATGCTGAGCCAGCACGTTTGTTGTTCTAGTTGCTAGGGTACTGGGCAGCCGGAGGCTGGAGTTAGACTGCTTATCCCTGCCTTTGTTAGAAACAGCTCTGCATGGTCAATAATGAGAGGAATGCTGCAATGGCCTCAGCTTGGGTCAGACACACTGACAAGTTGTGCCAAGTGAGAAGTAGCCTGACTCACACAGGGAGAGATACTTTATTGTTTTTTTTTTCATCTTTTGATGTATTATAGTTTACATCTTTCTCCTACACAAAACCCCCCTTCAATCATTTCTAAACTTCCGCAGCTACAAAAACAACCAACCTATAGTCAAAAGAGCAGCTTAAAGGACCAGTGTGTAGGATTTAGTGGCATCTAGTGATGGAGTTGCAGATTGCGTCTGTGTGTGGGGACCTGGGAATGAGAATGGGCTGTGAAGTGTGTAGGAGAAACTACAGTGGCCTTGAAAAAACATAAAAGGCCCGATCTACAGCCAGTTCTTTGGTGTTTACCATGTTGAAGACGGCGTTTCAACATGGTAAACACGTTGGCAGGAGACCACGGCTTCTGTAGATACAAACAGCTCACTCTAAGGTAGCAAAAACAAGATTCCTACATTCAGGTGATTATACATTTAAGCAAACATACCTATAAATGTTACACTCCATTTCTGCCAATATATCCTTTTAAATGTTACACACTGGACCTTTAATTTTAAACAGAGGCCACACTGAGGCCATTCAGATCCAATCACTTTTGCAGACTCAGACCTTTATTCATCAACCAGCGCCTGACACAGGGATGATGCTGACTCATTGTATAACTGATTCAATCTCAGGTCCAGAGGGACCTTAAGCACCTACCTTTGCTTTCTGAAAGAATTTATGCTTCAACAACTCTGAGGATGTTGGCCTGAAAAACAGCAGAATGACAATAAATTACCTCTGTTCACTTGAGCTTTTAATTCCCGGTAACAGAAAAACTTGGGAAACGGAGTTAGTGAAGCATGTTGAAACAACAATGATTAAAGGCATTACAAACACCTTTTCTCTGGGTCCTTCTGTAGACACATGGAGACCATCTTCCTGAAGGATTTGCCATATTTCTTTACCATCTCCTTGTCTGTGATGCCAGTCTCCAGGGAAGGGGGGTCATTCTGCAACGTCAGCATCAAGACCTGAAGACACCAAGAACACATTTAGTCCAAAAAAAACAAAAAACTGATTGAACTTAAACTGTAACCAGAGCAAGTCAAAGGAACTGACTTTATATTTGTTCTGTATTAACTACACGTTTCTAGGTAAGTTCAATTGCTCCGCAGTGTTCTCACCTTCATTGGTGGGTATTTGTGATAAGGTGCAGCCCCTGTGGCGAGCTCAATGGCTGTGATCCCAAAACTCCAAATATCTGCTTTGAAATCATAACCCCTCACCTGTGGAAGCAGAATCATATTCAACTTTCACAGATTATCTCCTCCTCCTTCACTGTGCTCATAGATAGAAAACAGTTCTTAGGACATAAATGAGCTTATTTTCAGCGTTTTAAGGCACATGTCATCTGCAAGTTCAGGCACCAAAGTGTTGTTAGATGGTTGTTGAGCTTTAGTCATAGTATAGATGTTCTAGGCCTCAAAATCCTAAATATGTGCCGATTATAATAATCTAATATACTAAATGTCTTTTAAGCCTTTTAAGATAAAGTTGTGTTTCATTCTGAGTTTTCTGTCGTCACGGTTACTTTATGGCTCTGTGCACATAACAACCAACCTGCTCCATGACCTCTGGGGCCATCCAGCATGGCGTTCCCACAAATGTCTTGCGCACTTTATTTCGGGTGATGTCACCACCTGTGGCTAGAAAGGCACTGACGCCAAAGTCTGAAGGGAGGGAGGGGAGAGGAAAAATAATTAGACGAACACCCACGAAAGGGCCCAAACGCAGTATGTCAATGTTATTGTCTAGAAAGTAAATTTTCCTCCACGGACTACACCTCCTGTGAATAAATACACTGAAATATTTGCACAGAGTCTAACATGAGTAAATGAGGTTACAGCACAGCGCAACTACTTCTTCACACCTAATCTGGGTTACTAGTGACAGGTGCTGAAGGGCGGTGTTGCCTCGTGGATAAATACCTGCAATTTGCACTGAGCCATCGTCCCCGAGGAGAATGTTTCCAGCCTTAAGATCTCTGTGAACATGAACAAAGACATTTAAAGTTAGAATAATGACAGTTATTAATTGGTTAGTTTATGTTTACTGAAACATTACTGTAGCTCCATCCCTAGTTTAAATATGTCAGACTCAATGTAAGCTAAAGATCTCAATTTTACACATCTTGGTACAACAAACTGCCTTTGAAGCTTTCACCTCCTTACTGCTCTTTTAGATATTATTAACGACAAACAATGTAGTTAATTTGTTCATCCCTATTCAGTCTCCCCTGGCGGTGATAAGAAGATTCAGCAGGGACAGCTGTCTGGCTGCCTGTCTGCCTCCGTGTGCACTCGCACACAATTACACAGACTGCCACACGTACTGAATACTGCCACCTCACTCGCCAGACAGAGTTGTCATAGCAACAGACTTTCGGAGATAAAGTCGAGGGGTCAACTGAAAGGCGAGGAAATAAAAGGCAAGGATGGCAGTGGTGTCACTGAGGACAACAGTCAACTCTGTCTGCTGCTCAGGCGTTCAGGAAGTGAATGTATGTTTTAAAGAGAATAATAGGAGAGACTTTTACTAAGAAAACCAAAGTGGTACAAACCCAGAATGTTTTTTCAGCCATTACACCACCATGACGACAGATTTGCAAAAATGACCCTGAGACAGATCTTTAAACTGCACTGACAGGCAGACAAACGATTCAAAAGAGATGCAGTGTCTGCTGTGAACAGCGGAGCAGTTCACTTTGCTACCAGTTGGGGGCACCGGAGTTAAAAGCTTGCAGCTATAGCTGAAAGATAAATGCTGTTGGATCATTCCAGCAAACAAATTGGTTTCAATGAATGTAAAAATAGACTGGTCTTTGGGCTACTGGTCTGGAGATGAGAAATAACCCAGCTTCCAAGAAGCAAAGGCTCACTTTATTGGGGATATTATTCAATCCATATAGACTATAAACACATGCCAAATTCTAGATAAATGGGGGGGCGAATGCTGCAGACATAATTGTGGTGGTTGGAAAGATTAAGATGCAACTTAAAATGCATGCCGAAAACTTACGACAAAAATCTATCAGCAGGGTTCCTGGACTCTTCCTGAGTCCCTGAGTTTGTGACAAAAAACGGTGAAGGAGGTGGAGTCTGCAGTTTGGCTTAAGTACCCCTTCTCTTGTAAACTAGGGGTACAATCTTTACAAGCAACCTACTCAAGACAGACAATGTGCTAAAGGGACTCAAGAGTTTGCAGGTCACAGTTCAGCTTTTTGTTCAAATGCTGCAGAATTCTTGAGTGTAGAGGACTCTTTTGCTAAGAGTGCTCCAGTAAAATACCACACAGACAACAGATCTAGTAGCGACAGGGGCAGGGAGTGGCAAACAGTGAGCCACAGAGGGAGGAATGCAGCATATGTCACATATTAGGACCATTGACTGAGAGCAAAGATGGGGATTCCCACTGCAGGCCCAAATGACTGCCGGGATAATAAAACTATCCAAAAGCAGACCGGGGTACCGGCACAGCACAGGGTGTTAGCTGACTGTATCGACGGTGTATTTCCATTAATCAGCTCAGGCAGAAAGAGCTGTCTGTGTATTACAGTGTAAAACTTTTGATGTGCACTTGTGCCTCGATGAGTTCAATTACATAACTGTCACACAGTAGGGACAACGCAGAGGAAGGGAAAGGGTGGACGAAAAACGAACGTGACAGCCTTTGCTAGTGGCTTTGAAAAACCCCACTGTTAGAAATGTCTGCCGCCGTACAGACGTCTGTGCTCCGTGGCTCTCTGGCTTGTCCCACTGTCACATTGCTGCCCTGACATAACAGCTAGGTGATATCAGGTCACAGTATCTTCCAGTTTATTGCACTCTTCTGCTTAATGAAGAACATGCTCATCCTCCACATCGGGTGTTAGTACATACAACAGCGACGATTTACGTCTGGTAATTTGAGATGTTGCTTTTTGAGGATTAGAGGGGAGGAGCAGAGTGGACCACCTGAGGCTGAAAGGCAAGTCTGGGGAGTATCCCAAAATACTTTTCCTCGTTTACACAACCACTGTCCCCTCTCTCAGTGTGATTCAGGGTTTAGCCTGGGCTAAAAATTGTACTGTATTTTAATGAGGTATTGTGGGTTCAGTCCAGGCCAATTAACCACTCTGGCCTTGTCACAAGAACTACTACTGTAACTGTAATCGTCTCACTTCTCACATTTGTCCAAGAAGAAAGACAAGCTGTAGCACTGTATACTGCTTCTACATCTGGAGACACGCCAGAAAGCTCATCTGTGCTAGGTGAAAAAACCTTAAATGAGAATGTACACTGAGCTAAATGGTTTTGGACAGTGAAAGTCAATACTATCAAGACTAAGAGTCTTCAGTCATACTAGAGGCTCTTTGAGGCTGTACTTATGGACAACAGTGCTTTGAGCTAAATGTTAACATTCTCACAATGACAATGTCGATATCCTGATGTTTAGCAGGAGTCATATTTACAATGTTCACTGTCTCAGGTTAGCGTGTTAGCTTTGCATGTATCTAGTCATAAACCAAAGTTCTGGACAAATAAGAATTTGGACCTGATGATGGCACTAAGTCAGGGGGATCACCAAAGTTATTTTAAGTCATCCTGAGGCAGGACGTGAATGTCTGAACCAAAGTCACGGCTATAAACCCAACAGTTGTTGAGACATATCACACAAATCCTGATGGTGGCACTCGAGAAAAAGTTGTCTGGGAACAATGAATGTCTGTACAACAATTTGTGCCATATTGGTGAAAAATTAAGATCAAGACTTAAAATGATCAAGTCATCAGAAGACAATTTTTCAAGCCAGTAAATTAGTGAATTAGTGAGTGACTGTGGGCTGAAAAGTTCTTGTTTCACATACTACGTAAAGATGAGTTTTATGTGAATGCAGAGCTTAAAGCTATTAATCAGAAACATTTTACTGCCGTAGTGTCCTCAGTTATTTCATTACTCACTGTCTACATATGCCTCCATATGACATCACGTCATTTCTCATTGTTTAGTCTTCATTTGTGAATTTAAACAAACTAAAGCAATGTACTATGCTCCACTCTGATTAAAAAAAAGACAACCCATGAAGCAACATCATTCACAAAGAGTGATCAAGGCCATCTGATTGCGACCCTCCTGCCTTCATTCAAGAACCAAGGAGGCTATGGTTCACTGCAGCAGATTTTAATGCCCTGAGAAAAAGGCTGCAGAGTGCAGACAGTCATTAACATTCACAGGAGAGGAAGAGGAGGAGGAGGGAGGAGGTGGTGACACAATGCACCATGCAAGTTCAAAGAAATACTGTAGCGGAAGGGGAAAAAAACCCACCTGCAGTTTAAATTCCAACTTCTGCTACTCATCCAGCCGTATGCTACAATAGTAGGTGGGCTTCAGCAAGAAGAATAACTGACATATAATGCTTATTTCTATGTGTTAAAGCGCATTAAAGCATGCAACAAATGTTGGACGAAACTAAACTAAACAAGATATGTGTTGTCTCTTCATATTTATGACCTACTGAAATAATAGCCAGGCAGTAGCCAGGTGGGAACAGCTACAGAATGAAACTGTCAAGAAGATTTATCATTCTCATCTGGCAGCCCTTGCAGCTTGCAGCTCCACCGGGTCACCTCCTGTGACATCACATCCTGGTGCCAGGTTCACAGAGACCCTAACAGGGCTGTAAAAGAGGGTTTATGAGTCGCCCTGCGGTTCCCCTATGGAGATGAAATACCTCAGCTTCTTTCAACTGTGCCCTTTGTGACCACAAAAATATCTTTCCTTTGCTTTGCTGTCTTGATTGCTTTCTCCATACTGCTGAATTTCATTCTCATCTGTTTTTCCAAATCAATTTTTATGTCTTATTTTGTCAATTTTACTTTAATCTACAGCAAGAGACTCTCTGCTCCCGCAAGCAGCATAACTACAGCCATTACATGATCATTACTAAACCACATACCGAGTAATTTGCCGGGCAGAGCCCTCCCATGTATCCTCGGAAGACGTGAGGTTTTAGAGATGAGTAGGGTAAATTTCTCCACAGTAACATCACTGTTGTCTAGGGGGCTTTTGCAATAATTAACTTGCAGGAGGATTTTCTAAGATTCAACCGACTGACAAATCTAGACTAGAGTGGTATTTATCTGTTGTTGATGTGCATGAAATCTACCTGCTGCTCAAGTTAGAGGACAAGTGCCATCTTTGAGTCACTGACTTTCCGAGCTGCTGTGAATGTGGAGGTGGAGCAGTTCGTCGTCTTGTGGTAAATGTCTCTGGTTGAGGCTACAGCCCGGGCTGCAAGACTCTAATTGCTTTTCTGCCGTCCTGGGCTGGATGGAACCTATCATGTGACACTTTCTCTCTTTCTCCCTCTTCGTTAAGCCTCACCCCCTTCGACTCTCTCCATCACCCGATGCCCTGAGGCTCTGACTCATATGATCCAGCTTACACAGGTGGAACCCGCACCGCCATAGATTACATTACATTACATACACACGTTTACATTAGCGGACACACTGATCAACTGAGCGGGGCCTCGCCGCTCTCGGTGCGTCAATGATTTTTTTAGTGAAGGTGGGGATTAGCTCACATACCTCACACTTTATGTTTCACGAGTCACATCTCGGAGCCTGGGGTGGACAGAAATCTATGATATTAAATGATATTTTAATGATCCCCTAACGTAGCCTTAGAATGGGCACAGAGATGAAGGCAGGTTTTACTCAGGAAAAAAACATTTCCCCCTCTCTCTGGCACTGACCGATAACCCTGTCACATTATGCTGAAATTGGATACTTAAATACTGCAGCAGAGGTATACCGCAGTGGATTTTCCCTTTAATTAACACAGTAATTTAAACAGCGTTAACACTAGTTCCTTACATCTCTACCTATACTTTCTATAGGATGCAGCCATTTTCTAACAAGCAGGTTAATGAGCTAATCCTTCATCGAAACACCCAAACAACAAACATCTCTCATACAGATCTTCAATCAAGCCTCTCTCTCCTTCTCACATTGATACTCTGAAAGCTGCTGAGCCGCTGAGACGTATGAAAAAGTGAGTAATGAATATTAGATACAGAGGAGGTTAGTGCGATGACTTCTACAGCCAGTGTGTCAACTGGGTCCATTTTAACAGCTTGAGTGCAGGGACTTAACCACGTCTTGAACTGGCTTAGAAAGAAAGCTTTCAGGATCACATTTCCTATGGCACGCAAATCTGCCATTGACACATTCCACTTATGTATAGTCACACAATAACTGTTAAAGATTATCAGCCTGGGAGTGGCGGTCTTCTTATAGATCTCCCGTGGTGGTTTTTAACTTCAAGTACTGCCTTTTTTTCCATTCAAAACCATACTTTAGTGGTAAGCCATAAACACGTCATTACTGCTTCTTCTTCTAGAACACTTGTCACATACCCATTGGAGATGTATACTGCCACCTCTCTATACAGATACCAATGAAACCCCTGACCTTTAGGAGTGAAAGGGGCTGTCTGAAAATGTTCTTTCCTCTGTATAGCTGTCTGTCTAGTCTGATGATGAATACTAATCACTTCCGTGCATTGAACTTTACATTAAACCATGCACTAAGCATTTACCATGAATAAAATTTGCATTAGCAAAGCTTATATGTAAAGATGTCTCTGTATAAACACATGTATTAATTTATAATAAGGATTAATGTGAAATATGCATCTTAAAAACATTTAATTATGGTAGTCTGAAAAAAATGTTTAATTAGTCTTATTAAAATGATAATTGAATCCAAAAATGAATGTACAGCAACCTGTTCTATAGTGGGTATTTTCTATAATGCATGATATCTGTGTCAACACAAACACAAAAGGACTCACTATACTATTACTCCCCTATAAAAATGCCCCATACAGTCAAGGTGGGGGACATAATATTAGTTTGACACCTTTTAGGGGAGCAACAGAGAGAAGAAAATCAGGGGTAGAGTTATCTATCTGTGCTCCATAAACCCTCAAGGTGAAGTCTGATACAGCCTTTGTGCTTACTGGTAATGGGAAGTCCTGTGTCAGTTTTATTACGGTACTAAAGGGGAGGGCCATGAGTTTCGTTACCTGTGGATCTGTCCGTTCCGGTGTAGGTACTCCAGGCCCTCAAGCACATCTTTCAACACGGTGGCTATGCTTGCCTCGTCCAGGACGCCTGTCTTGTGCTCGCCTCGTGAGATGATATGCTTGATCACGTCCAGCACGGAGCCTGGATAAAAAAAACACAGGAGACAGTGGTTGATAAAAAAGAACACACAATTTTATGCTTCATTTCTCTTTGTTGAAATCTACATTTGTGACTGTCAACATCGATGACCGAGAGAATTAAAAACTATCCAGCAGTTGATCCCTTTAAAAATAGCTGTGTAAATAAATTGTTTCTGGTCTTGACTGATGATCTAGCTCCTGCATCAATGAGAAAGTCACCTCGGGCTATCCTAAATCATTTGTTAAGCCTACTCTAAACCAAACCGTATTTATGAAAACACATGCTTCCTGGTGGATTGGCAGACATTCAGTCAAGATAATTTGTGTATAATCGTATATTGTTTGGATAAATTAGATTGTGGGTACACAAAGACCTTTTTTCCAGTTCCAGTGAGATGGATTTTATTGAAGGAAGAAACAAATGATTTAGCTGTGTTAAGACAAAGTCCTTTAACCATAAACATCACCATGACCTTTTAATTTGGCTGTCGCAAAACAAACCAATGGTGGAGAGAGCGAAATTAGAACAGTCATTACCATGCATTCTTTAAAGGGTAAACCCGCCCTTAAAAAGAATTTACATTGTGCTATCTATGATTTTAGAGAGTGAAGTCGGTATCTAGAAACACAGACAGCTGTTTCAGTGAATAAACAGCAGCAAGACTTAAATTTATGATGTCATTACGGGACATTTTGGACTTGGTCCATTGACTTTAAACTAGATTGACTTTGTAGGCTCACAGGATTTTTGTTTGAGCTTTTCCATCCAAATGAGTTTCATTTGGATGTTGAGTTCACAGCTGGCAATCAGAAAATGTGCTCATTTCAAATCACCATGGCTACTGTCAGAGTCATGTCATTATTCGCTGTCTATAGAGCAGCCTCCAGGATTTGACTCAATGACATCATCATTACAGTCCGTCTCTCTGCACTTCAGTTTAACTTTAAATTCACAAACACAAATTGAGCTCTACAATAACATACTGTAATGTCTGAATTCTGTTTCAGGGTGCATGCACCTTTAATGCCTTTGGATTTGGCCAGAGATGAAAGCATGAAAGACAAGTGCCCATGTTAACATTTGAGGTTATAAGTCAAACTGTTGCTTTGTCTTTAGGTGCCAAAGCTGAATGGATAACTAGTGTTGCTCTGCTCACTGACCTGGCAGGTCACCATGTCTCCCTCAGCCTGGCTCCTGCTGAATAAAAGGAGCGCTCTGGATGAAAAGTCAGACTGCTGTCAGTGTATGATTTCCTTTGTGCGACTTTCCAAAGAATAAAGAACATCTCTCTGAAAAGAGGCTCAGTATTTGCATTCGGTATGACAGAAAATTGGGCGACACTGGTGAATGGGGACAAAGCGGAGAAGCAAAAAGAATGCCACTTGCCTGACAAGCTGCATTGTGCTGCAGTGGTACACAAACACAAACATCACACTGCCACACTGTCTATCTGTCACACACACCCTCAGCCACACACACACACACACACACACACACACACACACACACACACAGACACACAGACACACAGACACACAGACAGACACACACAGCGGCACTTGCAAACAAAAGCTGGAAATGGCCTTTTCAAGGTCCTGAAACGCCGTCCGTGACACAATTTCAGGACTAAATTGATTGCGTTTTAGCAAGTGTGCCAGGCTTGGGGTGCAAAGATATTTATTTGCTCAATCACTTCAGGGTGTCTTCGCCTTCAGCACTCAGTCGTGCACTGCATTACCCAAAAGGGGGCCGATGATGACAGGCCACCTGAGACTAGACAGTGTTTTTGCAGACAGTCTCAGACACAGCAAGAAAGGGAGGTAGAGTAGGGACAGAGAGCGAGGGAGAGCCGATGAGTTCAACGAGTTCCTTGTGCAGTGACGGTGCGCAGCAGAAAATGTGATTCAGCAGTGAGGAAAAGAGACAAACCCATTCAAAGAGAGGACAGATGAAGAAAGGCGGGAAAAGCAGCCCAGATGTGTGTCTTGAGTGTGTGAGATAGCGGGTGTATATGTGAGCGAGTGAATTGGCAAAGAAACAAGAGGAGAGTGTAAGAAGAGAGCAGCCTGGCGTCTCTGATGTGACAGCTCTTTGAAGCTCATTGAGAAAAGGCAGACTTTTTTTTCCCCCTCCTCTGTTCTCCACACACGGGTCCCTTCCTCTCTCAATGCTTCTGCGATCAGTATGATGTTCATCCCTGTGCCTGAATTGGCTCTAGGCAGGAGAGGAAGTGACAAGAAGTGACAGGTGACATGAGGAAGGTGCTGAGGGAAGGAGGGTGGGTGAATAGAGTCACATCCAAGTCAGGGGGAGATGTAGTCCTAATGAGCCAACAGGTGTGATTATATGAGAATGTGATGAAGCAGTGGGACCTTATTTTTAAGCTACAGCTCCGCTTGATCTATACACCATTAAAATACCTTTTCACTTTCTTGTGTTAGATTTTGAGTTAGATGAAAAGATTGATACTGATGTCTATAGTATTAAGCTGCCTCTATCTGCTGGCTAACTTAGCTTAGCATAAAGACTGGAGGAACGGCTCACCTGGTTCTATCCAAAGGTAGCAAAATCCGCCAACTAGCATCGCCAATTAAACGTATCTTGTTTGTTTATTTGATATAAAAAAACAGTGCTAAGTGGATTTTGGATAGAACCAGGCTAGCTGTTTCCCCCGTTTCCAGTCTTTATGCTAAGCTAAGCGGGTGCTAAATATTTACCATACTGATATAAGAGTGGTATCTTCTCCTCTAACTCTCCGCAAGAGAGCCTTTCTTTTAAGATAAAGAAAGAGGAAGACTAAAGCAAGACAATTAGTGCATATTAAACATGACAAGTCTCCTTTAAGCTGAGGTTGCACTGAGGGGAGAAAATTTCTAAGTGCACACTCACAGCATGATGTAGGCTTTGGAGGATCACTAAATGCCAGCCTTGTCAGCCTCTTTCACATTCGTCTGATTGAACTCTTCATGCCTCATTAGGTTGTTTCAACAAGCTGACACTGACTGACGGGTTAAAGTTCATTTTGAATGGGAGAGACTACGGCTTCCAAGACAAATGACACCTGTTGGCCTGGTTCGAACAGGGCCTGTCCAATCCCCTGGAGGAAGACTTTATACAAATCACAGGGAATAAATTAAGTCTTGACAGCGTGGTGCACTGTAGAGCATGCAAAACTCAGGGAAATGTCAAATCATCGTTTCAGTTACATGCTGGATTAAGCAAATCTCAATTTTTTTTTCTGGATTTCAAACAGAATCTGCCAAAGTGTGAAAGCAGGGACCTTAAGATAACTCTACCTCATCCAGCAACATCCCATTTACTGTTTTTCTTATTTCTGCTGGTCAGAGCTGGAGGTTTTGAGACTGCAGGAGAGGATGAGAGAGTGAAAGGGGAGGGAGGAGGGAAGAGGGGGAAGTAGACGAAGGAGATGAGAGCTGGTGCCAACTGTGCAAAAGGCCGATTGGGAATGCCAAGCGAAGTTGGAAGGGCAGAGGGAGGGCGGGGCATGGGAGGGGCTGTGGAGAGGCATAGGTGGTGTAGAAGAAAGGTGAAAAACAGAGGGTTTTTGGCTCAGACTGAAAGAAACCTCCATCAAAACTCTTATTTAATTACACAGTTTAATTTTCTAGGGAGAAAGAACATTGTGATACAAAGGTAACTTTGTAGGCTATAATGTTATTGTCTCAATTCTGTGAACCTTCTGAGTCACCATAAAAGCTTCCCGTCAGCATTTTGGCAATAGCTACGGGCCACATCATGATGTGACAAATCCACTGGCTCCAAACTTGACAAAGTCTTTTCATATGCTAAATTCAAACAGTCAATAACAATCTGCCTTTAGCTGGATTCCACTCTGAGTGGCATTCGATTGAGCTTGGCAGCAGTGATTTTAGGTCGGTAAAGGCTGCACACTAATCTCCTGGGAACACATTCCTCTACTTGCTTTGGCATGACTCATATTCTGTCCCCTTGGGTTTCAGTGAATGTCTCCCCGATGTGAATTCAGTCACTGACAGGTTATGCGGTGCTCTAATGAAACAGTTGTTCACATGTCACATTCAGAACAGGAATTTCCTGAAAAGCCCTGCGCCTGCTGCGTACCTACCTCAAAGTTCAGCTCTACAGGTTTGGCCTTGAACGGATTTGCCAGAGAGGAGGGCAGTCTTGATTGAAGATTAGGCCTTTTAGAGCTCGTTTGAATGAATGAACAGCAAATGACATGAAATCTATAACAGGACACTGTACTGCGACCCAGGATATACATTTGCTAAAAAGTATTGCTATTAACAATTTGCAAAAGTGGTCTAAGAGTTCAACAGTGTCAAAGATGACAGACTCTTGCCAAAGGGATTGTCAAAAAATTTAATCCACTGATGCCTTTTTTGATATAGTAACACCAACGACAAAGGGGTTGATGGCATGTTATATATGCCAATACTTAGAGGCATGTCGCTGTTACCAGAGGGGAGTGGTATATGCCAGTGGAAGACCAGAGAGATGCCATTTTTATGGGCCACATGCCAGGCGAAAATAAGTGGCATACCACTAGTCAAAGAATCAGTATATGACATTGACCACTGGTATTTGCCAGTGGAACACAAGCCATTTATCAGTGGCATTGGTAGTATTGTTGGTTAAGCAATATTTTCACACTTTCTCTAGTTAACAAACACTACTATGATGTCTAACAACATTCATCTCTATTAGGAAGGAGACCTTTAGAAATGTACTCTGCTGCTTTATAGAAACAGTATAAAAACAGTTGTCTGATCAACTGTGAAGCTGTTATCAGTCTTTGAGCAGCAGAAGACACAAGACAGGAAGGAGCTGGTGGGTGGAGGGTTTCTTACGCTCCATCAAGCCAGAGGAGCAGACTGGAGTTGGCCTTACCCTGGGCTGGTATGCTCTGCCCTGTGGAGTGATGGTCTATAAACCCGACCCAATTTGAGGTCTGTCTCCATGGCGGATGTCGCCATGACCATCATTTAATTACTCCGCACAATAAAACTCAACATCAAGGCAATCTGTTTAACTGGGATAAGGAGAATGAGAAAGACCATCTTAAGTGGTGTCTGCTCCTGCTGTGAGGCTGGCTGCCTGCTCGAGCGTCGCTTGGCGGGCACCCCAACCCCGAGCGCAGCTGGTAGACGGCTGCCAAGCCGCTCATGACTTGTGTGTATCCGAGAGAGTCAGGCATGCCACCTGGGCACTATCTGTTACAGTGGGACGCTGTTTACACAGTGGGCCGGAGGGGAATGAGGGAGGGTTGAAACAGAGTGTAAATGTTTAGTGTGTGGATATATCTGTGTACGCTTGTGCTTGTATAATTAAATGTGTGAGATTGAAAGCAGGATTTGGAGAGAGATGAGTGGCAATTTTTTGCCTCTTTGTAAACAGATGACTATTACTTTAGGCTGTCTCCATCTCTGAGCCCACTGTTTCTTGCTTGTCAAATAGCTGGCACAGGACGCCTTCATCTACATGCTGTTTGTGTCTAGGAGCTCTCACAGGTCTGCTGTAAAAGCTCTGCTCCCTCACAGCAGAAGCACAAAGACTATTAGATACCACAGCTTTAATGTTTCTGGTGAAAATAAAAATGAAACAAAACAATCAGAAGCAGATGCAGTCGTTGCATTTTGAGGTCGCTCTCTCCATGGTGGCCTCCTCTTCGTGCTCCTCTCACTAGTTAATTGCTGCGCTGCCACATGGGTGCCATGACGCCGGCCTGCGGGCTGTTATTACCTCTGCCCTGTCATTAGCTCCTGCACTGTACTGAGTTAAAGCCCGGAAAGAGCTGCAGCTCACACAGGACACAATGAGGATCAGTGCTGTCACATTCCCTACAATCACAGTTAACATCAACAGCAGTAAGTAGCCCAATTCTTCCTGCTGGCCCTCTCTTACCTCAAGGGGCCCTGCCAAAAAAATTCTGGACCCCGCCAACTTTAAGGTCAAATTGTATTTGATGCGCTTGTAAATTGCTAGCATACTCACTGCAACTCAAAATCTTCGAATTCAACCCCTTATTTTTAAATCAGAAATAAAAGGATTGAGCTTCATACTTTTGCCTGTCCAGACAGACATTCAGATTTGCAGTTGAGGACAGTTTACACAGATATTGGACAGATGAGGGAAGAAGAAGACCCTGCACTTACCTCCACTGAGAAGCTTCATGACCAGCCACAGCTCATCCTTTACCACAAAGGAGGTGTAGTAAGACACAATATTGGGGTGGTGGCACTGGCTCATAGCCTGAATTTCTTTCTGTTAGAGGAAAAAAACATGAGAGACAGAATCAGATCTAATTAATCAGAACTGCACAAAGCATTTAGACGATCTAATCACAGACCAGCTGTTTATTTGCCAGTGACCTGATAGAGCTTATGTAATCTGTCACATCATCATCATCATCATCATCATCATCATCATCATCATGTGGTGAAAATGGATTAAAGTTTTAGCTTATTTTTATTTATGACTTTCCACCCCAGCAGCAGCAAGCAAACAACCATTTTTAGAAACACAGATTTGCTGCTGGTAGAGAAATGGGACCATAAAATACATAATGCACCTTCCTAATGTTTTCAAATGAGACACATAGCGCCTGGAAGCTAACTATTCTCATTTGCCTCACACAAAAAAAGGTATGAGAATAAACTGAACGTAGTCACAATAAATGGCTTTGATGATGCAGCTATTCTTGAAATTTAGTGCAATGCTTAAGATCTCAATGACGTCAGTAGTTAGAAAAGAAATAGGCTAGGTCAATATAATGCATATCTATGCAGAAGCGAAAAACAGCCGGTACTCAGCCTTTTATACAGCTGTAAAGCTCTCTCACAGTGTGTGTGTGTGTGTGTGTGTTTGGAAAGCAGGAGAGCTGAGGTAATGCTGGCACAGAAGTCTAATCCATCACTTCAGCACCAGTCGTAAAGTCATTTGAGGATAGACAAGCTTCCTAAGAAAAAGAAAATGTAGCTGACTTCAGAGTTGTGACCACTATTTCACAGAGGTTTTCTTGAATACTGACACAAATGACTCAACCTGTTACTGGAGCTCCACATTAATGCACAGCACCTCTTTACTTGTCACAATAATTACGCATATATAACTGCTAGACAACCAGTCCTGATCTTTTCAAGGATGACTAAGAATAACACTTAAAATTATTAATGTAACAAATTGCTTTAACAGGTATCCATCTGTGGTACAGTCAAAAACTGAAAAACACCACTCTTTTTAAAACTCAAATACAGTACAGTCTCATCTGGAGACTATACTGTATCTTGATTCAACAGACCAGAGTGAGTGAATGAAGTGATACGAGTTACTGAAACAAAGATATTATACTATATTCATTAAAAAAAAGGTTCATTTTGAGCACTGGATATTTTACAGACAGAACAATTAACTGATTATTTGCAGATCAAGTGATTGATGTCAAATTCACAGATATGTGTCAAGTACAGAGAGGTCCAGAGTGCACACATTGCATCTTCCTATGTATTTTTCCACTGTTGGTTGATGGAGCTAGGCGAGAATTTTCCCCCTTTTCCCAGGCTTTATACTAAGCTATGCTGTGCCAGACCAGCAGTATTTCTATATTGGATGCACAGAGGTGAAATCAATATCAACCTTCTCATCTAACTATGGGTTTCCACCACAAATGACCATATCTCCCCAGATCCCAGAGTGTAATTGAAAACATCTATTGAGTGCTGTACCATGACAGGTGCACTACAAGCCTGTCAACTGAGGAAACCTTAACACTCGAACCGAGAACATTTGTTAAAGGCATCAATCAATAGATGCTTGTGGGTCAAAAAGTAAGCAATCAAAGCCTGATGTTCCATCAGCATAAATGCTTAGCTTACACAATGTGCATTAGCAGCAGTACAGTATGCCACTACTGCAGAGTCATCACTATTGAGTCTGTGGCCTTCAGTGAGTGCCTCCGCCAAGAGAGGTTGGGGCAGGCAGGTGACATCATGATGCCATTAGAAAAGCACTAGACAAAAGAGAGTTAAGAACATGAACTGAGTCATAATAAGGGCAGATACAGATTGTGCATGAAACAAAGTCATTGGACCATAATGATTACAGGCGTGTTTAAATGCACACAGATCCATAAAAGACAATAGTAAGGTTAAGGGTCCAACAGGTGAGTCCACACACCACTCTGCCTCTAAACTAAAGCTGTTTTAGATCATCAAGCAGTCTAATGACTTCCAGTCTGTCGGGCCAGACGGCGAGCTCTGTGGGTCGTCTCCCCTATCATTCTTTCTCTGGATACTACAGGCTGAGAGAGAACAATAATGATATAGCCTGTTGGCTGTTAACTGGCTTCGGTGGAGCCTGACCCCCCCCCCCTTCTCCCTTCTCCCTCTGTTCTCAGCACAGTGGAAGAGGCAGGTCACCACAGCTCTGTGGGCCAGGGTAACCCCAGAAAAGAAAAACAATGGGATAACAGGGAGGATATCGTGCTCTGGCAGTTGGCAGGTTTTCCCATCTTTTCCAGCAGACAATGTGTGAATCAGAGACTCTTTGTTGTGGGGATTAGGTCACTGTAAACCAATGCTGCAGCAAAGACAGTGGAAATGTTCTCATCCGTCAGAACCATTCATATGACTTCTTTTTCTGTGACCTTCAATGTGCAACCTTTGACATTTTGAGGAAATATTGCCTTGTGAAAATGTTTTTGCAGGACATCTCAATGCTGACAGGAAAACAAATATATATTTTTCAGTATTTCTGCACAAGCAAGCCTTGTAAAGTCTTTACATCGGAATCATTCACGTAAACAGGTACATCGTGCATGTACTTTGTGTAAGTTCTGAAAGAAGTCAAGCTTTACTTACCTATAAATAAAGCTCATCAAACAAGTCCAAGAAACCATATCCACTTGTAACCCAACACTCACAAGCAAAAATGCACAAATGTAGGCCTCAGTGGCACATATGCCAAATGTAATGACAAGAGTTGAAAGTGATGACTTCAAACACAGAATGTTGCAGTGTTTCTACTTAATACAATTACTTACAGATAAATTGTATTTCATTACTGTTCCCTCAGATTATTATTTCAACTAAAGATCCAACTGTGAAAAGAAACTGGGAATTATTTCTTCCAAACCGTCTGTCATCTGGCCCTTTGTGTTTGGCTGTGGGTGTTGCCATGACCTCATCCTAAAACACAGGCATTCAGAGCAGTTTTATTCAAACCATCCAACCTGCAAAAACATAAGTGACACACCTATCTGCCGCCGCACACAAAGCCACCTGCAGCACAAATGGTTTCACTATGCCGTGATTACATTTCGGATTTAATATACGAGGAACAGATGACAACAGAAGAACCTCTTATGGTGAGTGGTGTAGAACATCATTGTCAAGAGACTTAATAATGACCATCTGTGTTACATTCATAAGCTACATACCATTAGCATAGTATACATCTCCCTCCCCACTGTGTTTGCATTAATTATACTATCAGAAGGGATTTTTTTTAGAATAATTAAGCCTCAGAGGAAGAAATAAATCAGGGTAATGCATGTTTTAATTAAACACACACACCGCACACACACACACACACACACACACACACACACACACACACACACACCTGCTTAACAATACATGCCAAAAGGTTGACATATTTTCTCTCAATCTTGAGTTAAAGCCTTTGGCATGAGAAGTCCAGTAAGTAAAAGTTATTCGGTTTTAGGAGCAGCAGGCAGGCAGTGGGCCAAAAGTTCAGATCAATAACAACATCAGACCAACCCTCCATCCCCTCATTCCACCCATCTAATAAAACTGTCTCTCTCTTCCTAATGGAGATCACATTGGTTTATAGAGTCAGTCCCCTTTGACTCATATCTCCACCAACATGTCAACTCAAATTCCTGTTTTTACAAACAGCGGGTAAAACAGAGCATTCGTTGTGAGATGAGTGAGGTCACTTTGGTTCATTTAATAAACAAAACTGAAACAGACTTTTCTATCTTGTGATTGGTCTATAAATCTACGATTAAAAGCCTGGAAAATCCAATCTAAACACTTAACGCCTCAAGTGGGTTTTAGCCTACAAATTATATACACATTCTCTACGAAACAGGCCAGCCCACGCCAATTGTATTATTCTATATTAGGCCTGATCTTTTGCAGTATTTGGCGTGTTTGAGGACCTTGAAACTGAGCAAAAAAATAAATGACCTATTGTCACAAACTGAATACAGTGCTGGGTCACAAACTGGTGCCACAGAATCGCACTGATGGCAGACGCACAGAGAAGCCACTATAGAAGCAATGTTACGTCACTATCAGTTACTCAGAGCCAAACACACACGCACTATGACCCAATCTCACAGCAGCATGCACGCACACACACATGCGCACACAAACACACACGAGAAACTATTGAGGAACAGAGACATTGCTGATTGATGGAAAAACCTACTAAAATGCAATCTTAATGCTGATAACACAAATTTACCTCTGAATCATTTCCTTTTGCTCAACTCTAACCTCCTGTATTAGAAAAACTAACCACTTTTATAGGATCACTCACATTTCTTATAAGTAAACCCGATAGTAGATAATGTAAGAGGATATTTCAAGCTGCACCGCATTGTATTTTTGTAAACAAACCTCCTCCTCATCTGATCTAGCTTGAGTCACTCAAAAGCCGCCTGTCCATCAAACCGCTGTGCCAGGAATAACTACAACATGCCACTTCATATGGAGACATGATAGCTTATTGGTTTTTATGACGTTAAAAGAATTTCACAGGTAAGATTAAAGACCTTCTGGCTTCTTTAAAACTAAAGGCATCCTCTTTTAAAACTGCTTCTTTAGAGAATCAATCTGGGTTCAATTTAATGCTTCCTTGCCGTTTAACCGGGTACCCAGCAGGCTGTGGAATTGGGGGGGAAAACCACAGGCAGGAAATCCGACCTCGCTGTATTCCATGTGACCGCCTGCTCCGAGAATCCGGGAGCAACATTCCCCTGATTCATCCTCCAGAAATCGGGGGGTGGGGTGAGGAAGGGTTCCTCCTCGGTTTAGTGTTGCCAGTGAGTAGTGAGAAACCTGCCAGTAATCTCTAGCCGTGACCTTCCATACGCACTTATAGGCTTACACAATATTTATTTCCCACAGGTTACTTTCACAGACTTTTGGATGAGAACTAGGAAGGAGGACTGGAAAAATTCATCAAGTTAACAACAGCTCATTTCCCCAGCAAAGAAACTCCTTGCCGTCTCCAAAGCAAGAACACAAGCCGCAAACGAGCACCTGATCATTTCTATGTGCTGGGCAGCTCGATACAATCCTCCCACCTCTTGAGCTGAATCGTAAACTACATGTCATACAGTAAATGATGTGCCGAGCTGCGGTGTAAGATTGCATTGAGGGTATGAAGACACAATGCGGCCGTCAGGAAGATGTCCCACGGTGGTCTAATAGTTTCCTGGCACTAAGTGGAGTCCTTCTTTTCAGAGAACAACCAGAATAGTATTTGAAGTGACAGGGATGACTGGAGGAGGACTCGGAGAAAACGACTAATGAAAAGCAGAGGTGGAACTAACTCTATCCGCACGCACAGACCACAGACACAAACCTCTAAATGCAATATTGTGCTGTAAGGGAGTATAGCTCCCTTTGATCACACATAAAAGTAACAAGGTCACAAAAAAGTAACATTAAGTCATCCCTTGGTGTAGTCAAAAAATAATGTACTGTTAATTCTTTTTTTGTAGCAAAGGGCAAATGTCAGAAATGTTCCTTTTCATCTCTAGTGCCTGGAGGGGCGTGTCCTTGTCTGTGTTTGATTGACGGCACCTGGCAGGCTGAGTCCCAGCAAGGGAACGAGAGACAACGTCATCGGCAGACAGCGCGTTGTTAGCGGCGCCTGAGAACCACACTACCACATCTAACTGAGACGAAGTGACATTTGCAGGTACGTTTATGTGCTGGGGTGCAGCAGGACGAGACGTGTGTTCCTGTAAAGGAGACGTTAGCAGGAAGGCTAACACAGGTTGTGATGATATACAATACGTGTGTCTTACCAGGAGTTCATCCATACTAGTCTGGCACTTCTCTAGGTTGATGCGTTTGATGGCCACCTTCTCCTTCCGTGGTATACAGTAGGCTGCTTGAACCACCGCTGTGGCCCCACTCCCTAAAAACAGACAGGAAAGAAACATATTATCACCTTGATTATGATTCAATATAGTATTAGTCATCTCATGCAATACAAGGCTCTCAGCACATTCACTTCAGGTTATATCCACGTCTTTAGGCTGCCCAGGTCTCTCTCTCTCTCTCTCTCTCAATTGTTTGCTTCTTTCCTAACCCCTGTCTACATCTAAAACTAATGGCTACTGTAGGATAATAATCCTAACTTGTATTATTACCTCAAAATCCTCCTGAGTTCAAGAAGGTTAAGTACAATTCTGCTTTGACAGTTCATCCGATTTCTCTTTGGTACAGCTTAACTGTCTGTTCATCAATTATGAATCAGCTTTTCCAAATCCTGCCTGATGAAGCGAGTCTGCTTGGAGCCGGTGACTCTGCTAAACTAGGCATGTCCCCAGGAGGCTTTTGAAAGAGGTTCATGCCAGAGAGGACCAAAGTCTGGTCCTTATACAGTTTAGAAATGTCTCTTTGAAGACATTTTGTTCACTGTTCATTGAAAACTGCCAATTATTCTTTACTGCACCAAATACCACAATCCAGCACATGACAGCAGCTCAAAAACTGGGAGGATTCAAGGATCCAAAGCTTTATTTGTCTCAAACATAAGTAGTATGTGCAGTGAAATGCAATGAGGCCTGCTCCTCAGGTAATAGTATGCATTATAATAACAATATATAACAATTTTACTGATCAATACTCCATATATGCATTTTATGAACTTTTCAAGACCTGGACACTTAAAATCAGTCTCATTTTCCATTCTTCAAGACTTTGCAGAACACAAACGCTCATACCAAAAGTGGGAGTCTATGCTAGTTTATACCACCACAACTACTATTTTGATGTGCAAGCAAACACCGCATAGACTACAATCTGATTAAAGCTTAAATCCTACAACAGTGGGCTAATCTTTATTTCGAATAACGTGCGTAGTCAGAGTAAAAGCTTGTAAAATCCTCCCCAGGAGAGGTACGCCTGCTGTTCCTGCATCGTGTGAGGTCATTTCACTGCCCTCTCAATGCTCTTATATGACGCCATGCATGCACACACGGTTGTTTCCACAAGATCTCTGGAGTATACGTGACGCTAAGCAATGCTGGGAGCACATTCTCCTCTGGCAACAGGCTTTGGTTGAGTTAAAGAGGGAGAGGTGAGTCGGTTCAACCTCCAGTAAGCTTTTCCTAACATCCCTCATCTTAGCTATGCCCAAATATTAACAAAGTGCTCATTGTTTGGAGTTTTCATAGAGCCAGAGGTGTATGGAGGTTTAAAAAAGGGCTATATTAAAAAGGAAGGAAAAAAAAAAAACAGTTCACTGATTTTAATTAAAAAGTAAAGTTGTCCCTGAAGACGTGACCACTTTTTATTTAACTGTTTTTATTCAAGATAATTATTACTTTGGGCTATATGGGGAAAGCAGAGAATGGCATAACCTCAATTTAGTTGAAACTAAAATAAAGCTCAAACCTGTTCTCTAAGATAATCCAATTAAATTGCAATATCCTTGTAATTTCCTTTAGTTGACAGACAGTAACGTTAAACATCATGATACAGTGTGTTAAAAGCCTGCTTCCTATGGCTGTAGTGGGTGCCATCTATTGACTGGCAACCTCTGACAGAGCGCGGTTGGCCTTGCTCAACTCTCCAGCATCCAAGTAACCACAGATCACTCCACCATTGCTCAAAAGGAAGGGGCTGAACAGTTCTTTAAATATATCCTCAAGCCCTCTCCCACCACCACCAGCAGTAATACCAAACAAACCTCTGGAGGCTGGCCAGTGATGGAGAGCTCAGCGCTGGCTGGACCACGGGGAGCCAGTTGCCCTGCACACAGCGGAGTGTAAATTCCTCCATACAAACAAACAGCCAGTCGTCAGGGGTGGCTGGACAAGCTGCAGAGCATGTGCGCTTGTATGTGCGAAAAAGGGGGGAAGATTGTTGCAACAGGCAAGGTCAAGGGGCACCAAGCCTCTGCAAGGCATTTAGACTGAGAAAGCCCAATTTACCAGCCAGTTGGGGCCTTGAGTTAATATAGACCTGATGCTCTTTGATATTTGCTACTTCCAAGCTTAGCACAAGGTTATTCTGCACAGAGCAGTCATGCTTCAACTATTTGTATCCAGTTACATGATTATTCAATACTTCACCAGGCCTTTGAGGATCTAACCAAAGCTGTAAATTGAGTAATTGTACTGTGATGCACACGCTGTCATCATATTCACTAACCAACATACCAGTAATCACCAGCTGTTTGGCTAAGAACGCATACCTTATTATGGAGCATGTCTGAAATATAAAGAAATAAGCCACACATCGTCACATCTATGTCATTCTCACAACGACAACATCATCACCACCCCCTCTCCGTCAGAATGGGAGGACGCACACAAAAGAGCTATCCTCACAAAAGGCATGCACTGCAGTAGTGCCAGGGCTTTGAAACAGTCAGGCCAACATCTAATCTGCTAAACAGTCTGGCACAGACATAAAGGCTGCATATCAAGCCGTAGGTGGGTTTTTTTTCCCTTTTCTTTTGTAAATTAATCAATAAATGAGCAGATTATGAACAGAGCAGGAGTCAGACCTTTACAAATAGAAGTAAAAAGAACTACTTCAAAGTTCTTCTGTCTGTACTCCCCCCCCCCACCATTTCCAAAGGTGCAACAACAAGATTTGGCTTGTTTTGGAAGTGGACTGCTAAATCAAATCAGTACATTAAGTAACAACATTAGGCAAAATCAAATGAAGATGATCGGGCTGCCAGCTGAAAATGTGGTGCGTTGACGTGACTGAGGGATACAACTTTATGTAAGCTTTTGGGTATTGGTTTATTGGTTTATTTACATGTTTGATTTCCTTTGCTTTTCACATTTCCATTTCATTTTTCACAGTGTTGTTAGTTGTCGACAGCCTAGAGTAAAATATCACTAAAGTGTTGTTTGCTGCTGTTGTTTTCCCTGTTGAAGCAAAAACCAAAATATGTCACATTTCCAGTAATTGACATTATAATTATCCCAGCAATTAGTTTAGAGCTTTCCCAAATTTCCCCTTAGTTCATATGAAAGAGTTACTGTCTGAATTTGTTTGATTCTTACATACAAATACATTTAATAATAAGTTTCACTCTGCAATTTGTGTTAAAAATGTGAGATTGTTAAGATTGATCACCTTTCCACTCATTTAATTTGAATATACAATGCCCAAAAATCAGTTACAGCTCTAGATGTAAAAGGTCTCCTCTGGATAGGGATAGGAAAAAAAGTTGCAGACCGGGTGAAACAACTCGATCACTCCTGTGGGTGAAACATTGACAAAACAATCGTGATCTTTGTAAAAGCAGCCAATGTTTTCTGTAAGCATGTTTCCTCAAAACAACTCAAGCTTGGCATGGAGGTTTTTATGCTATGGTTATTATACTATAACCTGGCAACATGTGAATGGGACAGGCGAGACTAGGATTTCTTCTGCACGATGAACTGTTTAAGTCTAAATACTGCAGTGAGGGCTGCTCGCTGTTAACCCGAGTAAGCTAACATGTTTGCTCTTTAGGGAGTCGACGTCCGAGTATGGAATGTTTGCATTCTCCCTCTTCCGGTGCATCTCTAGGAAGTCTTACAAGCAAGACAGCGAAACACAAAAAGGGAATAGTAAACAGAGGAACAGGCTTATTTAGGACGCAGACAAAGCTAAAGCATTACACTTAATTAACTTTTATTAATGCGGCTCAAAGACCATTAAAATACCAAGAGGCCATTTAAATAACAGGGTTTCATTAAAGAGCTGTTACTCCAAGATACGTAGACTCCAAATAAAAAGATAGCTCACATTATAATCCAACGTTTGCCTGATGAAAAGGTGAAAATTTTTGACGAAGGGGTCTAGGTAATCTTATCAGATAGCTTAGCCTTGAATTAGCTTCTTAATGGAGTAGGTCAGCAGTTGTGTTGCAGCAGCTCTCAGTTTGTCTTTCCCTCCCTCAGCAGGCATGTTATCTTTTATTACATTTCCTCTGCATACCTGGCTTGACATTCCACACATTATACAAAAAGGTACAATGAGAAATGTCACCATGACTAGAAATCTACCAGCAGCCACTGCCATGTAGTGTTTATTCTCCTGATCTCCCAGGATGCAATGTTTTTAAAAAATGTATGTGGGAAAAAAACAACAACCTTGAAGTGGATAATACATTTGGAGTAATAGTATAGTAATAGTCTGGGGGGTTGCTTTTCCATTGTGATAAGTTTCCTAGAACATAATCATACTTTTTTAAAAACCATCTGAGAGACAGGACAAGGAACAGGGAGGAAACATGGTTGCCGGTGGATACAAACAGTGGGAGCAGAAAAGTTTCCAGTTCAGTTTTGCCAACACGAATGATTCAAAGTCTGATCCAGAACGAGAGAGCAAGCAATACTTTTTTTTATTTTTATTTTTTTCCTATGAGCTCTGTCCAGTATGATCCAATGCTCAGTGGGGTGAAAAGAGTGGGTGTGAACCATGTAATAACAAGTCCTCTTTCCCCGGGGAAGTTGCAAAAAGAATAGCTCTGCTGGCCATGCTGGGTGTGCAGGGCAAAGCCTCACAACACCAACCTTCCCGCTGAGCACAAGAGCTGGAGGAAACATCTCTCTGGGATCAAACAGCCTATGCAGTATGAGGTGGGTTTAGGTCTGTGAGCCTGAAGTAGCAGTTTGAGGTTTTAAATGCCGCATACTCCAGTAGAGCTGAAACGATCCGTCGGTTTGATGAGTCCATCGCCGGAAACAATAATCTGTAACTATTTTGATAAACAATTAATAGCGTTACGGGCATTTTATGAAGCAAAGAAAGCCCAAAATGTTCTGTTTTCAGCTTCGATCTGAGCAGATTGTCTGCTTCTTTTTGTTGCATTTGTGACAATAAACTGAATCGCTTTAGGTTTTTAAGTTTTGGTGAACAAAACAAGCAATTTGATGTCATCCCCTTGGGCTTTTCTCACCATTTCCTGACATTTTATAGAACAAATGATTACTCAAGAACATAATCAGCAAGTTACTTCATAATAAAAACAACAACTAGTTGCTTCCCTATACTCAAATACCTCTTATATGTGGATTTATATGTGCCTGTGAGGAAAATTACCAATCTAATAAAACCCTCTCTTTTGATTTAATCAGTGATGCCTTAAAAGCACTAAAAACGTCTGTCAGTGATGGAGAGACACACAATGGGTAAGTTACATGAAGCAGCAATCAGAAAAAGCCTGTAATAATTTGGTCATTTGCAGTACTAAATACTATATTCTTGTTTACCCACCCCCCCTCTGAATACACACTCCAAAACACAACCACACTCCACCCCTGACTGATTGCACAACTTCAGGAATATCCCATCCAAACATGAACCCACACTACTGACTTTAAAGCTTAAGCATCTTCTTTGGTAATATGTTACCAATTCCTCCCTGTTACTTGTCTATCCTACGTCCAGAGTAGGCTAAATTCTCCACTGTGATTTGGGAATGGGCAAAATCCGGAGGAAAGCGGTATGAGGAAGTGACTCCAATTAAGTGCGATCCCTGGGTTAAATGATAAGAACAGCAAGGGCGCTTCAGTGTGTTCATTCATAGTAAAATATAATTTCCCAATATTTCCTCACCCTGAACTAAACAAGATGAGAGATAAGAATGGATAGTTGACTTGAAACTGCAGTAACTCAGACTTAAAGCCTAACTTTTTAAAAGCTGTCTTGGTCATATGGTAATCAAGCAAAGACTCTCTGAAAGGGCAGAGAGAGATAGAGAGTGAGAGAGAGTGAGAGAGAGAGAGAGAACGCTCCACAGGACTGTTGGCAAGGTTTAATATGAACAGAAACAGATGCCAAACAGGAGGATATTTCTTGTTTACCTTGTGTTCACAAGGAGCCAGGAAACACAGCCTCACACAGGGGGGGTTCTGCTCATTTAGATGATATACAAGGTAGACCAACTCTTTCAGATTTAGGAGCACAACCGGTAATCAGCTTTTGGCCATTTAAAAAACGAGGTGGAAGAAACTAGGCTAACTGCACAATTTATACCCAAAGCTGAGTTGATAATTGTGATCCTCTTGCCCTAACCTCAAGTAAGCATGCAGTCCTACCTTTAAAATAGCCTCACCAGTTTCAAACCTATGCTGACAATTTGAGTCACACATTGCGTAGGAAAATGCCACAGAACTGGTTTTCTATACAAGAGGGGCTTTATCTCTGTGTGCATGCTACATTGCAGGGCGTTATCTTGTGGGGTGCCCCAGATCGAATTTTCCAAGAAAACTGTGTGAGGAAATACAGAAATGGGGGTAAAGTTAAATCCAAGTCTTTATAAAAATACACAAAAAGGTTAATTTAGGGCATGTAGAATGGACTCTCTATAAACACACAGATCCCTGTGGAGGAAGCACGCACCACTGAGGTAAAGTAAACCAGAGGCACAAACTAACTGATTTGCGGGGGGGGACAATACTTTGCTTATACGCCACACGCTCCTTCATATTCTCAACCTCAACAAAGTCGGCCCAGAGGTAGGCCAGGGTCAGCTATTTGCAGGGGGTGGGATATTTCAGAAGTTTCACAAGTAAAAGCTGTCATTCCTCAGGACGGACAACCTGTAAGTCATCCTCCAGGGCTGCACAGGAGAGGTGTCACACTGGAGGGGGGGCTGACGGAGAAATCTGGGCACATGTAAAGAAGTTACCACAATTAACTTGTAGGTTTCAACAAAGTATGATTGATGATGTTACCCAGCAAATTATCAAATGACTTGCTCCCCATTTTCTGTGAGGGACGTGGTTAGAAGCCTCATAACACTGATTAATCCTCTCCAAAAGAGCTCTCGCATAACTGGATTAATTCAGGCAGTAAATTACCCAAAACAATACCCTTACTCCGGGAAGGACCATGAAGTATAATCTCTGGACTCTGCAGTGGCAACACAAGTGTTTTGGAAAGAAAAAAAAAAAGTTCTGTGCTTGAATGTCCAGTGTTTTAATTGAAAATGGGCGTGAACACACACACACACACACACACACACACACACAGTAAGTTAAACATGGTTTCTGTCTTCTCTACAGTAACGCTACGTGCCTGATACCTTGCTTCAGTCTATGTAATGCAATGTCTTTTCCCTCGAATAAAAAGATAACTTTAAGATAATGTTATCTGTAATATGTTTAAAAACCACAGTCTGCAGGTCGGGTTCTGTGTAAAATCACCAACACTGACACATTTTAAAATAAGATATAGTTAATATCCCTGTGGTTTTTTTGTTATAGATACAACGCCCTGTATGTAAGTATAAAGCGAGCTGCACATAAATAACCGACTGCTCAATGAAAGCGGTTTTTCTTTTCCAGCAAATAGTCACAGCCTCACTTAGACACTAACGTCGGAGCGCTCGTTTACCCCTCTCGGCGCAGCCCCGGCGGACGGGGCACCCGCTCTACTAAGAGACATTCCACCGGCTCCAAGTCACAACACCGCCCGGCTGGGACTCGCCAAGTTGACAAACGCGATGAACTCAACCTAGCACAGGAGAAAGAAGATGCCTCCTTCTCGCTTTACACTTGAAACATATTAATATTACGTGAGCTGTGGCGACCCCCAACCTCCCCCATTTTAAATAAGCTAACGGCAGACGTTCTCCGGACTGTCGGTTGACACAGACGTTGAGCTAACGAGCCATGGATCACATACCAATCACCTCGTGTAGCTCATAATCATCTTTGTTGATGGACCAGGGTTGGGAGCTCAGGTCCTCCGACATGGCTGAGGAGTCTGCTGGGGCCGTGCTATCTGTGGGGGAAGGCGCTGAATCCAAAGACTGTGCGGAAAAAGAAGTCAAAGTAATCCAAACAGGAGCAACGAGGGCGACACTTCCCCTTCTTTGCGAATCCTGCAGCACTCCTGTCATTCCCAAAGTTTGACACTAGCCTAGCGGCCCCGCCTACCGCATTCCTGCTGAGCAAATGTGGACCTTCCCGGCGGACATGTTGAGTGTGGGACGGTGGACCGCGCTGAGCTCCGGGGTCCCTGTCAGTCAGTAAGGGGGGGGGTACGGCGACTGTTTAAACTCCTTTTTGTTACATCTGTTAAGACTTTTACACATAAGTATACTTTCTAGGCAACCTACTATAAAGAGTGTTTAAATATTATGTAAAATATGCCGCCCCAAAAAATGAATCAAGCCTCTGGATTCCGCCACACTTTTAATGGCGGACTGATGGATTTGTATTCATTAGGCCCCCAGTTTAGCCTTGCAGGCATTTGTTCTCATCATACAGCAAACAAAAACAAAAGCAATCTTTTTTTTTTGCTCATATTAGCCCATAGCAATCCCAGCCCTTCCCCACTTATAAAAATGTAATTAAAAGAGCACGGTAGGTGTGTAACAGAGTAACATGCTGGAAAGTGCTACCTGCCAGGTTGAAGTGAGGGCAAAACTTATCCCAATACACGTGTATGAAAAGAGGCGTGTTCCTCCGAGAACATCCTGTCCTCTGATTGGTCAGTGCCACAAACGCTGCTCTGTCATTGGATGTTTTCATATTAAGCGTAAAATGTACTGAGACATTAGTTATTTTTGACAGCATTCAATTAGCGACACCTCTGGTTGTGCATTGTATAACATGCAGGATTTGCACAATCGTGACACCTGCTGGAGAACTACAGAATATTATTGTGCTTTCATGACTGCATAATATGCTTTATAAATAAAAGACAAACGCCATTGAAAAATGTGTTCAGTTTATTTTGAGGAAATCATATTCAGAGCAATCAAGTCAAAGAATAAATTCACTTTTCATTAAACTGTTTTAAAAAAAAGATCATATTAAAAATACAAAATTAAATGTCAGACATTGTGACAGTGTGGGAGAGAAAGGCAGATGTCAGCCTTGAGTAAAACTGAAAAAGTTGAAGTGTCACAATCACGATATCTCTTCCTCTTAGTCTTCGCTTTCATCTAGAAGTTAACTTGTAAGAGGAAGTGGTCAGCTTCCTTTTACAGAGGATTCAATGCACGCTGGCCTGGATACAAACAGATTGTCCTCACCAATATAACTCACATAAATATTAACATGAGCAGGCACGACCTATGTTATTCTTGAACTTTTAATAACATAATATGGCTTTGTGCAGAGAGAACTTTACTGATATTTGGTATCTTTATGCAGCTTGAGTTTCATAATGATACTATTGATAAATCACCATGTGATCTTCATAGGAAACACAAATAGTAGCATTATAATATAGACTGTATACACAGTTAGTGACAAGTGCTTCAGAAGCCAGCAGGACGTGGATAACAAGCAATAGCACACACCTGAATCTGTAATGTTTCGCCATTGTCCAAAATTCCCTTTCGTGGAATAAAAAGGCACCTTAGTACACAACTAACTGCCAGGTCCATGATTATGGCAGCGACAGCGCTTTGGCCAGCCGTGTCCAGAACCAAGCCTGTGTACAAGGCCGGGTGTAGTCACATATGGTGAGGAAGCGCAAGATGCTGGGGAAGGGCTTTGTCATTGACTTGTACACCACTGGAATAAGGCGTTTATTTCGAGCTCCTGAAACAGCAAACAGGATTAAAAAAAAGTCAATTACACACATGCAAATTTATGTCAGAAAAAGGGAATATAGTGTTGTTTAACTATAACAAAAATGTAACCTACCGGGAGAGAGGCTGAGAGCAAACTTGGTCTGAAAGTCACAGGCATTGCTGTCAAGGTATTCATCAGAAATCACCACCACCATCCTCTTACACCTGCACAGAAGGTCACATGTTATAGCTGCTGCAAACATGTGAGAGTCAGAAATTAGGGAGATTTTAAGAAGGGTGGATTGTCCTCTTGCTCTCAGATGACTTTCTATATCTAAATTTAAAATGAAACTCTTATTTCGCAAGTTTAGCTTCCTGCCATGACTTAAACTTCTGTGTCTTTGTATCTGGAACCATTTAAATGTTTTGTCCACATGGATTTTTAACAGAGCCACAGAATATATTTTGCCCTGTGTGTTTGCACTGATCTACCAGAGCTGGCCCCATGTGCCAGTGTTTTCTAGTCTTTCTAGTTAAAGTAAAATCACACAGAGTAGACCTTGATACCTCTTCTCAATGAGTTCACTTGTGATGGTCCATACACAGGAACCTGGGAGGACATCTCTGTCGAACACACACAACTTCAGCTTGTACTGGGTCTGCTCCAGCTCCCGGATCATCTCGTGGACAAACTCAAAGTCACTGTGGCAGTAGCAGATGAAGGCGTCGAACAGCTCAGGGGAACCTGGATTCAATTCAGTTAGATTAAATTCAATCCCTTTATTTATCTTTATAAAGTCGGTATTGGACTACAGAAATAGTATTTCACAGAATTAAGATATATTTCACAGACGTCAAACATAAAATAAAGGGTGGTAACCACAAAACTGTGTGGGGAAGTGGAACAGTGCAGTGGTGCAGACATGTCTGATTAGAGGTTCGGATGACTTGTCAGATTAGGAGGCGAGCTGGAGCTTTTTCCTGTTTTTTATCACAGAAAATAAAACTGATCTCACTGATCTCAGTATCTCAAGTTTTACTCGAGCAAATGCACAAGCTACAATAACTGTATTACAAAGTCACACATTTCATACCAGTGTTGCTAAGATTTGACATTTAGGGCTTAAGTCTGGAGAGAAAACAGCAAAGTATCATGTACATTTTTAAAGAACAGCTATAACTACTGATTGCACGTAACCTAGAAAATGAATTCTAATTATTTAAAGTTTGTATTTTCACTAGTTTCATCCGACATGCATTTATGCACGCTTAAAATCTGCTCTCTTGGTGTTGTAGGGATAACACTGTTGCAGACGCACTCTAACAAGTCTAGCAGACCATATGTACCAATCTAATATTGTATGTATTATTCATAACATGCATTTAATCTTGTTTACAACTACAGCTGCTCAAAGCGTAGCTCTTATTACCAGTGGTGGAGGAAGTAGTGCATGTATTAATATCAAATTTACTAAATACTTATTCATACTTATTTGAAGTTTTGTCGTAAAAATGTACTTTAAGGATCAAAAGTCAAAACACGCATTAGCTAAACAGCCCAGTTCAGAGTGTATTATTACATTATTATCTTACATTTTGGATTATTATCACAGATTAATTAACATGCAAGCAGCATTTTACTGTTTTACAGTTAGTTAGGTTGGAGCTAATTTCAACTTTATATACTGTTGGGCACTTCATCATTTTTTAATGATATGTTTTGTATGTAAAATATTAATCTGCAAAGTACCAAGTAACTATAGAGGTCAGATATGTAACCGAAAGGCAGCTCTACTATGGCTGTGACTTATTTGGAGAAGCAGTGATTGGTTTCATTGTGCTGAATCATGTATAAGATGTGTTTCTGATGATATGCAACTAATGCCGACGCAGGTTGGACTGCAGTTTGTGTGCGTAGACAAAAATCAATGTGTGTGTTTATGCCTTGCATTGTACGTTAGAAAGCACAAATAAGGATCACACAGATACAGACCTTCGGGGTCATCCTCCAGGGTGATACCAATCCTCTCTGGGGTGCGCGGGAAACAGCTGTCAACCTCATCAACCTGAATTGGGGGCTCAGCCTTCTTCTTCTGACTCTCACAATACTTCCTCACGTCCTCATCTGGGACACACAAAGATGTAAACGGGCAAACAACACACAAATACAGAGGTTTGAATACAGTAAGTTGGGGGGGGTTGATGGGACAGAAAGGGGACTGAATATGGTGTGAGGACACGTTTGTAGAACCAATAACAACAGATGAACTGATTTTTTTTATTATCAGCTTGTAAACACACGAACAGTTACAATATGTGGGGACATGTTTCGTCATTTATTCTGAACCATGTGTGTAAATACTTTTTGCAATATGGGAGTTTAGGTATGTGAATCATTTCCTGGAGTACAGGGACGCGTGATGGAATAAAATATGCATGTGTACCAATGAAATAAACATTTAAAAGGGTAAACACACACACACACACACACACACATATATATATATATACACACACACACACTGATTCCAAGTGACACCAACGCACCTATCAGCGGACGGAGATCCTCCACTATGTCCTCTCTCTCCACCTCTGCCAGGATGGACAGCAGCTTGCCCACGGACGCGTCCGTGGAGCGGGCCTGCCAGCCCTCCAGAGCCATTTGCGTGGGGTTTTTGGACGCCTCATAGTTCTTTATCTCGAGGTAATTAAACCCCATCACCTCCGCAACGGCCATCCAGTCCGCGGCCACCATGTTCCTGGGGTTTAAATACAGTCCCAACTTTTTCCGCACCCTGACATTCAGTGCAATGAGGGGAATCGTCCCCAAGTCCACCGCTGAGTCTGACTTGCAGCACGCCATGTTAGAAAAGTTTCCTCCAAATAAGCGACGACGGACTTCAGTTAAAACACAAGAGGGGGGGCATGTTAGCCACAGACGACGGGGTTTTGCAGTATCGAGTCGTTTTCCGATTGCTTTACCTGACAAGAGAACAAGGAAGTGATGTCAGCTGCTGCGTCACAATGTTGGGGAGGAGGTGTTTAGACTGCTGTTCACCTACAGACTCACCACTGGGGAGACAAGCGAACTAGCGCACTGCCACTTCATTATGCTTATTAATTCACTGGTATCATCGTTTTGGTGAGCAGAAGCGAAATAGATTTATTGATTTAATGAAGTGACTTTAAGCAGTGGGCACACACAGGAAATGTTCCTCCCAAAAAAAGAAAAGAATATGAGTTTCTGTTCCCTTTTCTTGGCTACTGTCACCAGAAACCCCCCATTCCCTTTGATATTTAATAGAAATTTGAAGTAAACACTCCATATTCATTTGAATGCCGTAGAAAATGTGTATTACATAACAAAACGCCATAACAACACTCTTTTATACAAGCAATTTTATTTTTATAACTGCCACAAATAGGCAAAGAAAGTTAATAACATCCTTATATCCAAAGAGAAATAAGAAAACTGCAACAAAAACAATCTGGATGAAAACAAGTTCAGATCAAGGTCTGATTAACTGAAGGAAAAGTCAAAACCACAGTGTAACTTTCACAGTTGCAGCAGCCTAACAGGAAACCCAGTAATATGGCCTATTTTTCTACAGAATTGCCACATCCGTCAAGTTCAAGTATCCAGTTAGGTAGGACGATGCATTTCCTCAAGTCAACACATCAGTGTGCAACTCAGGTTTGACAGCGACATTCCAAGTTTGCATCACTGAAGTGTCCATCCTCTGAGCATCTGTCACATGTTCAGAGTTCGCTTTTCAGGAAGATCACAGGTTTTTGCTTCTGGAGAAATAGAAGTCTATGCCTCTGTCCCGATGTTGTTTGGGAGTGTGAGGTGGACCTCTCTTTCCTCTCTGTGAAGGCCCTGTGCCACTCTGAAAAGAAAACAGGAAAATAATGGCTCAATGTAAAAACAATCCTTTACATGTAAAAGTCCTGCATTCAAAATCATATAAAAAAAAATATCAGCAAAATTTACTTTTATAGTATTAAAAGTAAAAGTACGCATTCTGCAGAAAAATGACTATCAATAATGACATTACACTATATATGACCTTATTAGGTTGTCAATATATAAAAAGCATTTCATTGTGAAGCTTCTTTCAGCTACTTTATATACAGTTAGGTGGTTCCCACCTTAGGGGTCGGGCTCCTTCCGAAGGGTCACAAGATAAATCTGAGGGGTCATGTTTTAAACTTTTTGGACTTTTCTCTATTTTTTGATTTTTTAAGGGGTTACTAAACAATTTAATCTCTTTGGATATTAAACAATTATAGATTTGGGAACTACTGGTTTAATATTTTACAACACAATGTATTCTACAGGCTCATCCTCTTGTTTTAGGTTAAAAAACTTAAACTTAAAAATAACCACTCTGTAAGAGTAGAAGTATAAATTAACATAAAAAAAGGAATATTCAAGTTAAAAAATGTACTTTAATACACCACTTACATTTCACCTTTTTTATTTGTAACCACAAAATATATTTATAACAGCAGCAGCACACAATCATAGTATCCACTTCCTCTTTCTAAAACACCCACCGGTTTCTTGTTAACGTGTCTGCTCCATTCTGGTGCTATGACGATGGGGTTTGGGTATGTCTCACCAAGGGACACGTGAGCGTGCGACAGTGCGGCAGTGCTGAGGGTCCAAGGCGTGTGCACATCAGCTCCCTTGATCCCCTGCAGCTCAGGGACCCACTGCCGTACATAGTCACCCTAAAGCAGATGCGTGGGAAACCGAGGAACAACTCAGTCAGTGGATGAAATTTCCATCGCGCCACATTTGTACGGGTTTCGTCAAAATCACGTGATAACAATACAATCACAAACACCAACGACAGCAACTTCCATACAAATGTGAAAGGGAAGCGGAACCATGCATCTTTTCTAACATACATTACTGTCGTAGTCGAGGCCTTGCTTGATCATGTTGAACTTCCTGTTTTCTCTGGGGTCATTTCCTATGCCAGCGCTGTAAAGCCAGTTGCCATAGTTGCTGCAGACATCATGGTCAATCTTTGGAGGAAATTTTTAAATGATGAGTCCAAGGCACTCAAATATTAAATCATATATCCAATAATTAGTAATAATATAATAATAATAATGAATGTCCTAAAAAATATCAGTACCAAATGGTTTTAAAACCTGGCCAACACTACTTACCAGAAGGTACTCAAACCACTCCGCTCCCATCCTCCAATCCAGGCCCAGGTCTTTTGTGAGAAAACTAGCAACATTTTGTCGCCCCCTGTTGGACATGAAGCCTGTCATTGCCAACTCTCTCATGTTGGCATCCACAAAGGGCACTCCTGTTTGTCCCTCTGTAATTACAATGACACATCTTCAACTGCTGATACATAAACTTTCCAGTGCCCTCTTAAAGACACTCCTTGATCTGTAATAAAGAATATTTTGTGAACTACAAGGGGAAAAAATGGTGCAAACCTTTCCACGCATTGAAAAGCTTCATGTCCTTTTTCCATGGAATCGATTTGTCTTGAAGCCCTGAGATAAAAATCGCCATGAGCTTTACATTCATTTATAGTGTTTTACTTAATGAGTTGAAAACTTGAGCTCACTTTACCTTTGACCTGAAACAGTCTGTTTCCGTACTTGACACCTACAAACTTGAAGTAATCCCTCCACAAAAGTTCAAAAATGACCCTGAAAGACAGCAGTGACGATCGTCAGACAAATTGGGTAGAACATATTTTTTTTTATGTTTTATTATATATTATATTTAACATTAAGAAAATATAATTTTTCCAGTTTACAAACAGATTTTGACACATTCTAGCTTCATATCATCAACTTTATAGAGCTTCTGTACACAGTTTACCAATATAGCACTATTATACTTTATATATTGTTTTATAGCGCACTCATTTATTATTACAGTCATCTCCAACTCACCAGTATGTGCTCTGATTGGCTGTTCGCTCCTTCTCGTATTGCTTGATCTGATGATAAATATACCTGGGTGAAATGCAACCCATCGCCAGCCTGCAGGATGTCAGCGGAGCGCAGTTAGTGATATATTTATAGGACTTACTTACATGGAACATTAAACTCTAGTAGGCATTCACTAGCAGAGGAAATGATACAATAACACTCACCAAGGTGCAAATTTAGTGGAATAATCCACACCTATCAAGCCATTACGAGTCTCCTTGTAAGTTGCAACTGCGTCCTACGAAGCAGACCGCATATATATTTATTACATCTACAGTACATAGTAGATAATACGTCGCCATATGAGTTTATGGCCATTTTATAAACAGCAGCTAGTACCGATTTGTAATGGAGGTTGTACTCACAGTGTCCCAGAAATAGTGTTTGAGTCTCGCCAGAACCTGACTTTCGCCACCGCTGCAGGGGAAGGCTGAGCGAGGATCAGTCAAAGGCTCTGTAAGAATAAAACAAGCATCAGACTGATTGCATTCATGCTGAACACTCCCCGATGTACATTAAGACACTGAATCATTAAAGCTTAATCATATACATGGAAGTGGAGTCTGTCTGATCGTTTGCTGGCACTTAATGAGGAAATCTATGCTCAGCAGTTTGCCTATTGAATTCTGAGAGCAGCAGCAGTGTGGATTTACTCAATAGAGGTGCATAAAAATACCAAATTGCGCTTCCTATTTGCCAACAGCATGTAGAGACATTTCCACAAAAGTTCATTTAATAAGCACATTTAATAAAATGATATTGTTACAGACATGGTTTTATCACTTCTGCAAATTCACAGAACACAAATACAGAAAGGGAAAGTGTAAGATATACTGTATGAATAAACCATTTGGATTCAGCAGACAAACACACCTGTCTGTTGCAGGTCCTCTGCTGTAGGAATAGCTCCTTCCTCCAGCCCTGAAGGGAGAGGCTTTAGCTGCTCAGGGGTTGGGAACACAGGCCTAACCCTGCTCTGGGTCTCCACTGCCTTCCTGAACTGGGTGTACACATCGGGCAGCCTAACAGACCAGGAGGGAAATGTTTCAAGTTAATCTTAATCTACATCTCTCATATAACTGTCAGAATGAAAAACAGGGCGTTATGCAGAACTAGCACGCTTGGTCCCAAACAAGCCATATCCTCTCTCACCTGGATATGTGGTGAAATGGAAGATCATCCCTGTGGTACAGTGTAGACCCCCAGCAGGTGTGAACTTTGACTTTCATCTGCGCACAGACATCCTTCACCCCTTTCTCCACATTCAGTTCTTCCGAAGTTACCTGGAACATGAACGCATGAAAGTAAAAATCCCCAAACAATGTCAAAAAGCTGTGACGATTACAATAAGAAAAAGACTGTTTAAAACTACCTCTTCATGGAAAGCCACAGCGCTGACAGACCCCAGTTGCTTAATGAGGTCAGCAACTACCTCCTCTGGCTTACCCTGTCTCACCACGAGGTTGCTGTCTCAGACACACACACACACACACACACACACACAAAGAAGTCCCAGTTAACACCATGTCAGGCAAGCTGCATCCTGGGTAGAGAGCTAGTAACTTCCGCCGACATTGACCAGAAAAAAAAGATGGGAACAGCACTCATGTTAATGTAAACATAACCCTATACGCCCAGATGTGTCCTGACCCCTGTTGTATCTGTTTAAGGTAAATCCTAGAAAGTGTATGTGTAACAGTAACATGATACATGAGTTTGGGATCACTTTTAAACCTTGTAAACAGATTACTGTTCTTCAGTGCTATAACAAAGACAGTGGAGAAAGTCAGCAATGTAAATAAAGCAGTAGAAGACATACATTGAGATTATATACAGGAAGACAACAGTTTAGTTACCTGCCCTTGCTGAGCAACGTGTTTCTGAGGTCCCTGATACTGTCCAGTAAGAAGCGCAGGCGGAAAGGTCCAGTCTTTGGTAGGTTGTAGTTGTACGTTCCCACATAATGTCGGGGGTCGAAGCAGTACAGTGGGACAATGTACTCTGCATTTCTTTGAGCCCAGTGAAAAAGCTGCGGGTCATACCATCATCTCTTAGCAAAAGTGATCATCACAGCATCATTATAGCAATATTCAGTAAATTTGATCCTATAAGCAAACCTTTTTGGAACTAATATGGCTGCTTTAAGTGCACTCCCACGGCAGCTAGTGTTGAAGACAGATAACCTTATCTCTTATGGAAGTTCTTTATGAGGAATAACAACTTGAGATGTACCATCTCGTTTTCAACAAGGTCCTCAGTATACAATTAAACCAAATGAAATGAAAACGAAAACAAAACGATAACATACAGAGACAAAACAAAAACCACAAAACAAAAAGGAAAGCTATAAATATCAAGAGTATACATTTATTAGAGAAAATCAAAATGTCCCTCTGCCTGTACATTTTAACCAGCTTCAAAGTCTTGCCCTCAATAGTGCATGAATAGCTAAATTAATTAGAGAAATAATATAGACTATAGAATACACGGAAGCATTTTTAATCAGGTGATACGATGATATAGACCCACTATTTACAGGTAGATTATTTCAGTCAAAGGGAGCTTTAAACATGAAGGATTTCTTAGCTATTGTTTCAGGGACACCTAAAATAAGCAAATGCATTTTCCTTTGCTAGAATTTTAGTAGGAAAATCATGTCTCTTATTTTGAAAAACCGAAAGCCGTACATGTTGATGTGACTCTTCTACAGTATGGCTGCCTAAAGACCAGCAGCTTTTGTTTTACAAAGGTAGACTTTAAAAAAAGTGAATATTTTGACATATAATTTGTGCAGTTTCAATCCAAATTGTCTTTTTACCCCCACACTTAACTTCTCGGAATGGAATAAAACCGGAAGTAATAGTATGCATCGCGAGACAAAAGTAGCTTGATGCTAATGGAAAACATGTTTCATACATAAATATGATCAATATGTGCTCGTAATGGCAGGATGGAGGCAAATGTCACACAACGTCAAACAAACACGTTTACTTGTAAGTTTAAATTGGTGCTCTTAAGTTCAATAATATCGGATTTCATAACCTTATGGACGGATTCTTACCTCGTTGTCTTGGAAACGTAGGTCGTTTCTTAGTAAACATATGATTGTACGGAAGGTGGACATAGCGTTACTTCTAGCTGTCAGTACTGCAGCAGTAGTTGTATCAGAAATACCGACAGTGGTCTGTGTCAGAGAGCTGGGTCCTCCACCGGTCTGTCTCTCCTCGGTCTGTCGCTCCTCAGTCTGCTGCGAGTGAGACCGTCACGTTTTACGACACGTTACAAAACATCGGGTTTTGTAACCAGCAGCTGCCTCAAGCTGTAAAGCTGTAAAGGTTATATAGACGATTAACAATATTATAACACATTTCAGTCTAGTGCAGCACGACCTTAACAGTAAATAAAAAATATATAAAAAATGTTCATAGTCTTTAGTTTAGTAAATGAGAATCAGAAACACTTTGTTGATCAAATTAGTTTATTAGTTGTTCAAGGTGCTCACACAATGTTAAAGAATAGAAATAATACTTATATTGCAAGAGTAGAAATGTATATAGAGGGGAAAAATAAAAATGGAAACATAATAAGAACCTATGCACCTTATAGTTATAAATTATATACAGTATATGCTAATATATATGCCACAGTATGTGACTGACAGAAATTAAATGAGTAATAGTAGTGAGTTTTTGAAGATTGTAGAATTACAGAAGTTATAAATGATTACAAAGAATGACAGAATAAGCCAGTGTATTGCACTTTAATCATGTTATTAAACCAAAGTAGAATTAAAGTGTTCCTAATAAAGTGGCCAGCGAGTGTAAATACAAACCTATTAATCAACGTACAGTATTCTGAAACTAAACACAAAAAGAAAGGACACAATACAATAAGTTTAATTATGACTTAACATAAAATAATAATTATACACTTTGAAGCGTATGTGGTACGTTCTCCCTCTTAGTCCTCAATGTGAGTTGTATATAAATAAAGAAAATATGAACTAAAAAAAGAAAGGAATTATGTTTTAGGAGAGGGAAAACATTTAATACATTTACAAAATGACAGAATGATGATTATTTTTTGTTAATGGAAAGTGAAAATGTTAAATTAAAAAGCTGGGTTGTATCTTGTAATAGCATACAAATTATATAATGCAGTACAAAAATAGATGTTAGCTCCGTAGAAGAAAAATAAAATCAAAGAGTGAATAAAACAGAGAGAGGTGCTAAAGTGATGCTTTTCATAACAGTCTGGGGAAATGTGATCACAATAAAAACACAACACAATAAAATCACACAGGCAAATAGTCTTAGACCTTGGATTTATTAAGTTAAATGTACAAAAGATCAATGATACATTTAATGTTTCAAGGCTTTGTCATTAAGACAAAACAAACTCTGTCCCAATCGAAAGCCTCCCAGCCTTTTTCATACTGCCTACCAGCTCTCAAAGAGACGATCATACATACTCCTGTCTAAATCACAGTACAATCTACTGTATAACGTAGCTATTTCATCAAATAGATTTGTATATAATGTAAAGAAATTTCATACAAAAGTGCAGAACAATATGTATTTACAGTATAATCTTTTTTTTTTTTCCATATAAAAAGAACTTCAGCAAATCCTGTGTGTGCTCTCTACTGAACAGCTGCTCACCTTATTAAGAAGCTTTCCGCTTTGGCAGTGAACATTTGTGTTCACAAGCAGATTCAGATAAGGCACTGACAAGGGTCAAAAAAAAGATTTGATCATTCTTTAAGTGCCACTGTATTACAGCTAGCCACTACACCTCCAACATCAGTCTCCCCAGTTAAAGTTTCATCTCCACTTTAAAAGAATACAGCATTTAGCGCCGTCCAACTTGATCCTTTTTTTTTTTTGGCGACTTGTAATATTATGCACATGATGTTACACGGAGCAAGGTGTGCTGTCAAGTGGTCATTAAGTGACCCATTCATATAGTGTGGGAAGCAAAGTAAAGGCATGGGGTGACTGGATCCATACAACGACGACAAAAAAAAAGTAAATGAGACGCTTACTTCGATCTAATTCCATAGCGCTTTTCATTCCAACACAATGTGACGTGGATGCATCTGATTTGGTCTGTGCCGTCTACTGTGCACGAAGCTGCCATTACATAGAAAAGGCTATAGGGCTCTGAGGTGACAAAACAATCCAACGTGACTAATACTGCACATTAACTTTAGCCTTAAAGTTCTTGAACGTTTCTGTCTCTGCAACTTTTCTTTGGCCACTTCTTTTTTTTTTTCCTGTGGACCCAAGGCTCACTGCATGGGAAGCTGGAATGGATGTCACAGACTCCAACAGTAGTGTTGGTATTGCTTAATAGACATTGCACACTTATGCAAAAGTTTGGTTCTTTTTTTTTTTTCTCTTCTTCTTTACATCAGAAACAAACTACACAATTCTCCTTATGAAGTTATATATATAAAAAAAAAATGCTTCAGATAGAAAAATATCTCCTCAGTTGATTATCCTGCATGTTGGAAATGTTTCAATGCATGATATCAAAAGTGCAATGTTGACAATCCTTCTAAATGGGCTTGTGAGTGCTATGGAAGTAGGGAAATGCAACCCTCTAAGATGTTTTTAAAAAAAGACATTCTTACTTACAAATTCTTATTGTAAGGCGTTGACGAAAATACATTTACATTTTTTTCAGGTGACAGTAGAAAACATGTTTGCTAGGATGACTTTGTATGTGTTATTGTCGATCATATAAAAATATTTTACCATCTTAACTTCCCTCACAGCTAACTGATGACTAACTTACAGTACTGTCGCATGTGATCAAGGTCACCAGTCGGTCACGATTACATAGTGTCGGGCTGAACCTGGACACTGTTCTGCGGCAGTAAATGAGTGTAAAGACCCACAAAGCTTGAGTCGTCACTGCTCTCTAGCTAGGGTCACATTTCCTGCTCTTGTTAAAGGACAGCAGTCTTTAGCTTGTGAGACTGCTAAGTGCTTTCTCGTAAGTCCCCTCCGGGGGGAACAACACTGCGACGCCTCGGAGGACTCTGGAGGTCTGACGCAATCAACCTGGCCTCTCTGTGAAAAATCCGGGTTGAGCTAGTTGGTGAGAGATGCAGGGGTCCTGCCAAGGCAGACACTGGTGATAGATGGCAGGGCAGGAAGTTGGAGTGATGCTGGGCCCTGGGGACGGGTGCGGGCCGGAGAGGAGGGGAGGCGCCGGGGCCCACGGAGGCCTCGCAGGCAGGGGAGGGGAGGGGGTTCCACGGGCCTCAGAAGCTGCCCTGGACAAACGGGTGGCTGAGCAGAACATCTGCAGTGGGCCGGCACTTCTCCTCCACAAACACCTGCCGCAGGAAGTCCCTGCATGCTTCGGACACACCCTCTGGAAGCATGGGCTTCGTAGGCTGGGTGGCAATCTTAAAAATGGCTGCCATGGCCTCGTACTCGGCCCATGGAGGTTTCTGGGTCAACATCTCCACAACGGTGCAGGCGACACTCCTGAGGACAAACAAGAAAAGAAAATCTGATTTAATCATATTGGCATAAAATATTAGTAGTGAGTTATATTTATATGTATTTATTTGTACAAAACAATTCAGTGCAACAACACCAATTATGATCACAAAAATAAGAGTTGACCCTTTAACACTCGCCTAAATGAAAACTAATGTACTTTTTTTGATTGTTGTATCCTCAATATAAATTTGGACATAAAGTTTTCAGTTATTTATTACATTGTTGTATGCCCTTCGAATGTAGGGAGACACCATATTTTAATTTAAACAACAGAAGATGGCCACGTAATATGAAAAGATAATCATTTTAATATGTCAATATAATGATATTACATGTTTATATTCATGAAATCTTTCTACCCCACAGGTAGAATGGTGAGTGGTATAATTAAGAGTGGTTTAGTTGCTTTAAACCTGGAGTTAAGATTACTATCCCAATTCCCAATATGTTTTAGGCTAAAAGAAATCCCCAAAAGTAATGTGATTAAATCTTTAAAAAAAAGTATTTTTCATGAAATGTTGATGTTTTAGAGATACATGGTTTTCATTGGACAGTAACGAAATGTAATATTTACTGCAGGGCTACTGCTTTGGATTGCATTATATTTTTCTGGTGTTCATACTGATATAGTCAATATTTCTGCTGTGTAATCCAAACTTAACAGCATTAATGTCCTGGTGGCTGCTATGTATTTGTCTACTGTAACTGGTTTTATTTCCCAGTAATAGAGTATACTTGCTGAATTGAACTTTTATTGCAACATGCGTTGTACCTGCACAATAACCGAAAAGAAGACAGTCTAATCTATCAACACATGTATTACATCGTCATGTCCAATTTACTCTTCATAGTAATGGCAGTGGCATTGTGCTAGTGCCCCAGGTGCCGAACAGAGGGTTGTGAGAGGTTAAATACTTTTATACAGTCAAGTCTCACAAGAATTTTACATTATAAGCTTCACAAATATAGTACTAACTGCAGGGCTACTGTATTGAATTACATTATATTTTACGGGTGATCCACACCTGCCCTGTATTTCTGTTTTGTAATCAGAATGTAAGATTTTGCTATACTGTATGTATCCGACAGCTGTAACTGGTCTTATTTCTTAGAGATACAGTACACTTAACATGTCTGAAGTGTTACCAGAATTTGGTTACATAGAGTACATACCACAAACTCAATTGTTTCAACAATTTATTGGTTTGCCACCCATGTACTGAGGTAACTTTATTGCTTTTTCAGTGTATTTTCGTGCCTGTAATAAATGTTTTGTGCTGCCTGACAAACTAATCTCCCCTTTGGGCCACATTGCTGTTCCATCTGATGTTATTCTTACCATACATCAGCTTTGCGGCCATAGCCCTCCCCATTGATGACTTCTGGGCTCATCCAGTAGGGGGTGCCAGTGACGGACTTGATTCCTGTACCAGACATGCAGATGGTCTGGATACGTTTGCTGGCTCCAAAGTCGCCCAGCTTCACATTCCCTGATGAGTCTCTCAGGATGTTAGCACCTGGTGAAAACAAAATGAGCTCAGAGTTATTCAGAGTCTCCCGAGGACTGTCGATATCCTTCAAGGGATACGTTGAAAAGTTTGGAGGTTCAGTTAATGTAGTCGGCCAATACAGCGTGGTTTCCTGTGCCACAACTTCAACCTGAGTGAACAACCTAAGGGGAAAGGTAAACATTTCCAATGGTTGTGACGATGGAACAGCAGGTTTATTTTTAAAATGTCACAGTATGCCTTTCAG